AGCACGTTATGTATTGATCTTTAAAGTAAAATATGTAATTGTCATCTATAAATAAAAAAAGATATTTTTGTAAAATTGTATCTCATGAAATAAAAATTATTCCTCAGACATCACTTCACTTCTAAAACTTAAATTAATTCGAAGCTACAATCTAAAAAATATTTAAACCTAACATTTCTAGTCCAATTACATCTCACCCTTATCATTTGGGGCTATGCTTTCAAGTTGACAACTCTTTTTTTAATAATTGTCATTAATTAGCACTTATATGCACTCTTTTATTTTGCTTATAGTACCAAAAAAAATGTTCTTTTTTTCTTTTTAAATTTTTTGACGAGACGCACTCTTATTATTATCATTATTGAATTAGCTATTAACAAATTGTTTGAAATATTTTCATTATATTCGTAAACTTAACTTATAGGGATTATATTTTCTTATACAATAAGAGATAAGATATCTCATATTGCACTCACAAATTTATATGGATCTCAATGTATAGAAAAAGAGAAAAAAATTAATTAAAGTGAGCTCCACAACTTTTTGAGTGTGTAAGAGAGACTTATTATCTCCTATCACATGAGGCTAATATTTCCGTAACTTATATAATCAGAAATAATTTAGTTGGACAATTTTTAAAAGATCCAAATATGGATAATTAATTTTACATATAAGCTCGTGAGTGTTATATCCTTACGTAAAAATAAGCATCATATTTCCCTTCCATTTGACTAGCCAAATGAGTAATTCTCCCTAGAAAATTCCATCATGCAATTTGAACTTTGAATTTATCGATGAGTGATAACAAAGGCTTGCATAACATAACACAGGCTAGCAGCATAAAAGATGGTAATGAGAATGATGAATGGCCAGTGCCCTTATAAATGGGGACAGTGTAAGGAGCAAATTCAGAGTGACATTAAATACCTTACAATGTATGGACCAAAAGAGATAAACAAGAAAGTGACGGCAACTCGCTCAGATTCACCAATTTATTTCCCTCCATCAATGTTAAGCTTCAATGAACCAAATCCTTCTTTCATTATTACGTCTCCTAGAAAGACTCTGTTAACAATTAATTAATGCACTATATAGATGCTTCAAAATTTTCATCACCACTGAAATATTTGTGTCAGCTCAGCTGTGATAAGTGATAACAAACTAACTAAAACTGAAAGGGAAAAATGAATATGTTTGAATAAATGAGATATGCTGTCGTCGATTTTATCCCTTCGAGGTAGGCTTCATTAGCTCATCCATTCTGAATTCTGATGCAAAAATCTTAATCTTGTAGTATACGAAAACAGGACCCTCTGACACACTTCTTCTCTTCCCCTTCAGATCTATTTATCTCGTTTTTGCAATGGTTCTCTCATTATACCATCAAACATTTTCAATTAACACCCCAATTGTTTTTCCATTCTCTGCCTGTTTTAAAACAACATAAAAGGAAAAGATGTGCACGAAAGATGTGATTTTTCTTCTTAGGTGAAATTGGAGTACATAATAAAAAAAAAGAGAAATTAAATAAATAAATAGATACCAAGATGCTTCTGATATACAAAACAAGTCATGTAAGCAAAAAGAAGCTAGAAATATGTACTATACTTGCAAAATCTCTAATATATACAAGGATGGGGGGGGGGGGGGGGGGGGGGGGCAACATGACTGAGAAATATTGTAAATTGAAGTCATACACATTCTTATATTCCCAAATAAAAACATGGGTCTTCCCTCTTTCAGTCATGGACTCATGGATTGAAAAAGTAGTCCCCACACTTGCACTTCCAACTCATGGGTTTATAGTTGGAAAGGTCATCCTCTCTGGAGTAAGTAACTGTTGTGGCTGTTTTTGTTGCAGAATAATGGTTTCTATGACTTTGAAATTGAGGCACAGTCGGGACCTGAACTGCTTCACAATGAGCACAAGTTACGCATCTTCTTTCACACTTGGGAGGCCTTGACCCTATTTGAGTTTTTGCCACCATGATTGATTCCCTCTCTTTCATGCCCTTCTGCACATATATAAATAGTATCCAATGTTTAAACACTAACATATATATACTGGCCTGGGACAGTGAAGAATTCATTTTATGATTTTGATTTTGTACCTGGGAAACTTCAATGAGATTGGAGATTGCTCTTCCTGCATGCATATACACATAAAAATAAGCCAAGTTGGATCAATAAAAAAGAGAGATTTTTTTTTTTTGAAGCGTGCTAACCTTCAGCCTTGAAAACAATATGAGTAAAGATAGAAGTTGAAGCAAAGAGAAAGAGCCATATGATCAATATTTGTCTATTTTTGAGGCAGCAAAAACATATTTGTGTTCTGCCCATCTTCTCAGGGGAAAAGAAATTGCAGAAGAATGAAGCAGTTGTGTAACTATAAATACTAAAAACCTTGATAGAAGATAAAATGATAGTAGAGAAGAACAGTGTGAGTCTATCTCTGTGTGTGTCTGTGTAAGAACAATGATAGTAGAACAGTGTGTCTATCTGTGTGTGTGTGTGAGAGAGAGAGAGAGAGAGAGAGAAGAAACGGTGGATATGTGGCAGTTGAGAAAGCAGTGAAGCTGAAATTCTGAAAAAGGTGTCCCAAAATGGGTCAGATATTGAATGCCACCCCCTATAATGCAAATGCGATCACCCTTTTGCCCCTATTATTTCCCCTTCAATCGATAAACATGAAGTCATGAACTGCAAAAGGTGTATTTTCAATATCATCGGGTGTTGGAGAAACAACGTGCAAGTAAATAACCCAAACTATAAAATTAGGGTCCAGTTATATTGATAATTTTTTTTTTTTATAAATTTATAAATTATATTAAGTTTGGTTAGACTTTACTCAAAAAAATGTATGATCAGTCAGATTTAGTGTAATTTGTAAGTTTGTAAAAATTAAAAAATTAATGTTTTAAATTATTACTAGTTTATCTAATCATTTAAAAAAGATTAATGTATATCATACATGAATGTACATATATATTATGAGTTTTATAAAAATTATGTTGTAAGAATAGTGATTGTGTCATACTAGAGACATTCATTTTTCCTACTTTAGTTTTTTTTTGCTTTAAAATAATGCGAGTCTAACAAAATATTGTATGCGTAGAAATTTTTTTTTTATGTTGGACGATGAATGCAAATTTGATATATTATATGTCGAACACGAGGGATTACTATTTAAAAGTCTCTAGTTGTTGTAATGGCCTCACTAAGACACATGGCTCCCTCGATTACTGAACCTCCAAAACTCGAAGTTGTACCATATGGGGACAAATCTTGAACTGAGATGAACATGCCAGGCATACAATAATGGTCATTGCCTGCACACTGCAAACTTACGATTAGGAAAATCCAAGACAAAAACCAAAAAAACACACAACGAAGTTCGCAGGCAAGGACTGAATATGAGGTTTCAATTCATGCTTTTTTTTTTAATAACCTTTTTAAGCGGGAAAAAAAATTATGCTCTATTTGGACACGCCAAGCCTGTCTTATATTTCCCAAGTAAGTCACGGAGGGTATGAATATGAAAATAGTTATAAAGAATACAAAGTTATGGGTATTTGCGAGATTGCAATAAAGTTGATCGCTAATTCATTATTCCACACGTGTCATATTTTGGTTGATGTTGCAGTTAGGCTATGACTATGTATATAGCTAGCATTGGGTAGATTTGTTACTGTGGGACATGAATATACGAACGAAACATTAATGCATCTTCTTCTTCTTCTTCCTCTAGTGCGGTGTGCAACGTTATTCATTAACTTACGCAAAGATGTTGGAATGGTGGGTCAGTTGGGCTTAGCTTGCGTCGTCTAAGAAGTAGTAAGGACCCACTGAATTTCACAGTTGTTTACTGTTAGCACATCATGTGCCACTGCTATTTCCAGCATAACACGGAAATAAAAAGGGACATGAGATTCAGAATATATAATGAATCTCATGGCCATCATGTGCTAATCTTCCTTTCTCTCTTTCTTTTCGGGGTTGCTGATCATTTGAATGCGTACAATAAGGAAATATATCATAACTATTAAAAAAGTAATATTTTTTTTGATGATATTTAATATTAATTATGTATAGCATAATTAGATTGTTAGAAAAAATGTAAAATAAAAATTTAGAGTTTCTTATATTTTTTTTGTTACCCTTGTCTTAATTAGATTCTGATAAGTTAGATTGTAAATTATCCGCTTGAGCTTTGAGCTCATCACAAAATTACCTCATGAAATTTCAATTTTATTAAATTACCTGCTCAAACTTCTAGCAATTTAGCAATTCACTGTTTCATCAATCATCCTTTTACATAGTTAATGCTAACAAATGTTCTTATGTTTTTTTCCGCAGTAAATTGCTTCCAAGCATACTGAGAGCTAAAGTTATATAATTTTTTTATTTTTTTTTTGGAAATTGTTCTAAGGATATCTCCAGCCAATAGTCAAGAACTAATCTTCTCGATGCGGAGTGATCATGCGATTGTGGGTATAACCTCTTTTAACAAAGTCTTTTTTATACACACGGACATGTTTAAAGGATCCAACTATACTGGGCTTTGTTGGTAAGTTATATGAAATTTGGTTATATTAAGAAATTAATCATGAATTGCTCAGTGTTTAAAGCTCAAAAGTTGCAGAAATTAAAATTTTAGAAGATAATTTGCTAAAGTCAAGCGATAAAGTGGGCAATGACAAAATTTTACCACATCAATTGTTAGGTAGGGAAATCTTAATTTATTGATGGAGGTTTTTTTTATATATATACATTATTGACGGAGTTAAAATTAAGAAGAAAAAAACATTACTTTGTTTTATTATTTAGGATCATAAAACAAAAAGTCAAATATTACTATGAGAAGTTGAGGAGTATTTTAAAAAAGTTATAATTGCAAATTAGAAGAATTTATAATTTTATCCTTTCTATATTTCTTTTGCATACTTTATTTAATTAAATAATAATGATATGTTAGAAAAGAAAAAAAAGTTGTGACCAAACCAGGGAATCTTTATAAAAGTATAAAATAGAATAGGTACAAGAACGACATCTTATTAAAGTACAATATACATCCCATTCTATTCTTTCATTAATTCATCTTTCCCTTCTTTTGTGCTCTAAAGAGTCAAGCGAGTAGGAAAATACACAAACACCCCTTTTCTCCACCTCCTCAAGAAAAATGGCACTACCCTGTCCCTTAGAAGCGGGCAAAATGGGAAAATTCTATAACTGAAAATTGTCAACCATATGTTGAACCACGTCTGTTCCATCAGAATTGAAACGGTAACTTTTTACCTGAATATAAAACAAAATTCAAGCATAGAAAATATATTATTAAGACTTAGGACAAATAATAATATACCAGACTATCACTACAGATTTTCAAAACAGAAAATAATTAGTGACATTGAAGACCCCATCATGGTCTTGTCAGTGTTAAAGAGAAGAAAAGAATTATGCTTCTACATGATGTTTTTCAAGAAGCAGAAACTTGCCTGAATGGTACTATGTGCGAGATATCTCTGCCTAATCCCACTGAAGCTGACATCAATGCGATCCCAGCTCATTGATGTTAAGCCTCTGATCATTTCCTCTACAAGTGTATTTAATTGTTATATGACATATTTTAGTAATGATATCCAAAATATAAATCATCAATTCATCATCTTCAATCAGAAGCAGAAACATGTAAACTACACAAGCAAACAAATAACATGCAGCCTTGGTTCTCAAGGTTCTTAATCATTAGAGGATGGATACTCTTAGTGGATCTAAGCTTTTCAAAACGAAGAAACATGGGTCCAATATACCCTCATAGATACCGTACCACCTTTTACCTTAGCATGTACACAAAATTAAGGCTCTCAATAGACTGCAGTTCTAGTATACAGCTAAAGATAGCAGTAATCTTTTAGTTCATGCACACACAAAATATTTTTGTTTGAATATTTCCTCCTTTTGAGATATCAAACTCAACAAACTGCATCACGGTATATATCATATAAAAACTGAATCACTTTTTTAAAGGAATGTGTCTCATGTCTAACCACTCCCTCCAGAAAGAAAGTCAATTAGAGTGTCAGGATGTTATTCCACCAAATACCTACTATAATACGAATAATTAACTTAAACAAAGCCAATGCATTTTGTTAAAGAATCTTCAAATGACATCAACTTTGATTATTTTGGGGTTGCTTTTCCCATTTTCGCTTTCATGGGCCATCTGACCACACAAAGGTTTACAAAAGGGCTTGTCTTTTCAGCTTCAGCCAAACACTAGCCCCCTCAGGCCATAACATATAAAACCTTGTTAAGTTATCGTTGTAGGTTTTTCTAAAGTTTTTTAGATATCAGCAGATACAAGATAAAGTTCATTAGTTAAAAAAGGTGAAGTACCTTCCATGTCAAGTTTACCGGATCCACTACTCACTTTAGATTCAGTAGTAACTTCCTCAGGAACAGAAGTGGATGTTGCTGTCTCTACATTTACAATATGTGGGTACTTCTCGTGTCTTGAAAGATGCTGGCGCTGAATAAAAAACTAGCTAGTTAGATACAATTTACATAAATTATATGTATTATACTTTAGAAGCTTGATAATCACCTTTGGAAGCTCGTTTCTACGCCTTATAGATGACGTACTCCATCCAACAAGTTCTATGTAAGAGTCAAGTTATTCATGTAAGCACTACACACAGTGACAATAAATTGTATAATAAGAATACCAAAATGGTTAATTCTGCTTAACTAAGACAAAGGATACGGTCATAACGAGCATTAGCATAGGCAACACGGTGTTTGAAGGACCTTAATGCAGACCTGAAGAGAAAGAGGAGTAATCTGTTATTTGTTCATGACTCGGAGAAGTCATCATAAGTCACAAAAATCAAATAACCAAACTATAAACCATACATGAATTTCATATCTTCAGAGTCACGAACCATCTGCAGAAGAAGAGGAGGTTTTCCATTTTTACTATCAGTTAAAAATAGATGTTTTCCTGTTCTGCCAAAAAACCCTGCAACATGAGATACTGCTTTCTCCAGAGAGTAAAACCCACAAAACATTGGAACCTGAAGTATGCCAAAATTCCAAAACCATGTCATGAAGCCATTATTATCAACATATATTAGTAACACATTTATATATTTAACATTATGGTGTTGCAAACTGCTATTTTAATTGCCACTGAAGCGCATCACAAGCAGCAGCTTAATCACAGATAGTAAAGCACTCAAATTACATATTTCGCAGTAATAAAGTCGCATTAGACAACCCATTTTAAGTCCAGAAGAAATCAATAGATAAACAGAATTTTTTAAAGGTTCAAGAGAATCACCTGTTTATGCCCTCTAGAACCAAGGTGTGGCGTTGCGGAGGTAATAAAATTTATGGGCTCCAGTCCTGCAATTTTACCTTCATATTTCCTATCATGACATTCTTGATCTGAAATCTGACTCTCACAATTCCCATTCCCCTGAGAAAATTCCATAGACATGTCTTTCCCATAAAGCTTGGCTATTGCATACCTTGCTACCAAGCCACCTAAAGAATGACCTATAAATGAAATTTTCTGTACACTTGGGTAACGTTTTATAACTGATATAACCTGAGAAAAGAGAAGACAAAAAAGATATTTTATCTTTCTGGATTTGATGCAACAGAATTGAAGTCAATTGAACATTTGAGATTGACAAGTGGAAGCAATTCAAAAAGATGAATATTTAGTAATGAAAGGCAACATGAAGTACAGATGCAATAAAGTTGTACAAAGATCAACAGTTGAATGTCAAAGCCATAATACCTCCTCTGCTAATCTCTCTCCCATTACATCAACGCCGTCAAATGTCAACATTGCAGAATTACACTCACTGCCTGCATTGCACAATGGTGATGCATTCCATTAAATGATGGAAGCCAGTTTTGCTGTGGAAAGAATGCAACAGAAAATAGAATGAAGATAATTTAAACTATTTTTTTTTTTTTTTACTTTTAAACCCATTCTAATAAGAGCAGAGGGATGGAGGTTGCTTCTGCATACAAGACCATCTAGTTTGCATACAAGGACCTCACTAACTGCACAATAGTGACTCTCAAGAGCTAAGATTTAAATCAAACTTCAAGGTAGAACCAATCTAGGACACTTTCAGTCTGCAGAATACAAGTTAATTAGATGGTATCCTAGTTACCATTACATTTATTTCCAAAAACTATTAATCCACATTTGTCCCTTCTACATTTTCATCATTTCTGTGACCATTGCACAATATTCCCAACCAAATCTTTATTTAAAATATCAAATTAAAATAATAAAGCAGACTACATATCATGATGATAAATTTAATGAAAACCACTGCATTAAAGTTCTCCCTCCTTGTTTTAGAACGCCAAGCAAGAGCAGTATCCTCCAAGATTTGTTGGTACTTGAAGGGATCAAAACCTAACATATGCAATTCTATAATGTCCCCATCCGAATCAAAAAAAAAAAAAAAAAAACACTAAGCATTGCCATGGTCAAGTTGAAGATTGTAATTACGTGAGAAACTGAGATTCTTTGTACTGATTTAATGATACGAAACATCAGATTGATGATATTCCTCGAATTCTAACTGAACACAAATGACGAAAAGGAAGCTACCAGGATTGTGTGGACTTACAATGTACAATAGCATCATCTGGATACCTTTTCAGAAACTGCTTTGCAGCAAATTTCCAATTCTGAGCGCTGCAATAAAGAGGTATAGCTATATTTAATTAACAAATAGATTAATTAAGCATAATCACAAAACAAAATGTTATACTTTTGGTACATTTTTCCAAACCAGACAGTTCGTGGGGTAGTGTAGAGGCAAATCATCAATCTTTACAAACATTGTTTGATCATGATTTATTAAAGTTAAAGAACTACGAACCTGCCTATGAGACCATTAACCGTTATAATCAAGTGGGTAGGTTTTGGACGCTGACCAGATGCATCAACAACCTCCATATCAAAACTTTCTCCAGTGGCATCATATTCGATCCTGAAACAACCAAACTTGGGTATATAAGACCTCCTCTTCTTCTTGGTTTCATTGTTGACCCTCTTCTTCTTGGTCCCTCGATCAGCACCTTCTATGTCTTCTTCTTGAACGTGGGGTGCTCGTTCTGAATCCATGGAAGTGATGAGGCTTGAGAACAAAGTGAACACTACGAAACAATGATTTGTTTGTTGGTGGTGTGGAATGGGAAGATGGTAGCGGCAAAGGCGCAAGGTCAAATAAGTGAGAGTCTTAGGAAGTTGTCGTTTTAAGTAGTTGTTAGATTCATAGTTGTGATGTACAAACAATACGAAGCTGCCTTTCAATGACTTTCATATTCAATTTCTTGACTCTGACCCTTCCTTTTTAATAGCCATTCTGTTTCTTTAATCTTTTTTTTTTTTGAAGTTAAGTTTAATTTTATCTATTACAAGTATATAAAATTATGGAAAAATTACTGTTAGGCTACATGTATTAACTTTTTCTCATACACAAAATTTGATAACTGTGTCATTTTTTTTTTTTTCAGATAATAGAATTCACAAATTTATCTCTATGACATGAGATAACTTATCTCCTTTAATCTGAGATAACTTATCTCCTTTAACATGAGATTAACAAAACTCATAAAATTATCTCCTTCTAATGTAACAAATATTAATCTCTTAATTTATTTGGTGTCACCAATCAATGTTGTGTAGGATTTCGAACTTGATTCATATGTCTTATTATGGTAATATTCGTAGCAGGGCCCATTTAGATGGCGTAACAAAACTTTGGTGGATTCTACGGGCACATGTGGAACAATTAAAGTTGGACGCATGGGTTATTATTGCAGGTTTTATTGTCATAAGTTATGATGATTATAAGAGCTGTTAATTTCTTCTTCACAAGCCTAACATTAGAAAAAAATTCAATTTCGTTCTAGAAACCTGAAAGAATGGGGTTTGGATTTTCTCCTCTCTTTTTCTTCTTTTCTTATGGAAGACAATCTCTAGAACACGAAACAGTTGACCCGCAATGTCTTCGCAATTGTTTATATTTAAACAAATATTTTTATATGATATACATATCACACTATTAACATAAGTTAATTGAACTATCAAATGATGTAAATTTAGTTTAAATAATAAAAACTTTCTAACCATGGAGTGATATATGCGAATATTGTATTATTCAGTTAAATAAGCTTGGGTGGGTTGCAACTTTCAACTTTTTCTTTTTGGTGGGAATGGTCCTTTGCTTTTTAACCTGACACGCATGTGGCTGAGGTTTGCACTTGCCCAATCGCTGATGTTTGTTAGGGAAAATACAATGAAGATACAGTCAAAATAAAACATTTATTAATTAAAAGAAGATAATGTTTAGGTATAAAACACAAAATTTAATTGTTATTTAAATTATAAATTAAATACGCATCGTGTTTGTTTATACATAAATATTTGCCCACAAAATGCTTGATTTAATTGTTTTTATTCTTAAAATCAAGTTTAAATTCATAATAATTATAATTTTGATTTCTATTTGAAAAATTATAAAAGTATATCATCAAACACTTAGATATGAAAATCCAGCAAGAAGCACATAACAAATTTTTTTGTTTATTTTTTTATTAATGTTTATGATATAACCCCAAAACAATATTATGAAAATATATATATATATATATATATATTTCATAATATTTTAATAAAATTCATGATATAAGAGGGGATAAGATTTTCAGAATGCTGTGTATTTTTGTTTTTAAACCCAACATCATTTTAAAATTGCAGAAGATAATTTTTATTTTTCAGTAATTTTTCCCAAATTTTTTTATAAATAAATTTTCCGAACTTTCCTAATTCTTGCTGCCACCTACCACCTACCACCTCTTTGTCCTGACTCGTGTCATTTCCGTAGAAATTTTTAACCATTTATGTTAGACTTCTTTTCCCATCCGCGTCAAGCCTAATCTTGAAATACATGTCAAGATAAATTTTACTTTTTCTCTATCTCTCTCCAAGCGTTAGATTAGACTTTAGAGTCGAAGTTACGCGAGAAACAACACACTGTGCAAATTTGGGGGGGCGGGGGGGGGGGGAACCACTGAAGGACTTATAATAAAATCAGTTATTTTATTGGTGAAAAATGCAACCAAAAAAAAATGATAAAAACATTTTTAAAATTTATAAGTAATTAATTTTAGAATTTTATAAGAGTTATGTTGTAGGAAAAATGATTGTGTAATATTATAGAGATTTGTTTTGTATGCTGTAATTTCTTTTTTTTTTTTCTTCAAAAAATGTGGACCCACAAAATGTTATATGTGTAGAAAAGTTTGTTACGTCGTGTTAAATGACAAATATAAAACAAATTTAATTTTATGCGTGTCTAGGTTTTGGAATTTTAAACTCCTCGCAGAAACATAATGTTATTACATTTGCTGAATGTAATTAGAGCTGTCAAAAAGGGCTCAAGCCATAGGGCCAGCCCATCAAGCCCTAGGGCCAGCCCTATAAAATTTTAGCCCTCTATGCAATGGGGCCATTTTAAGCCCATCCTTTTAAAGCCCTCTCATTATAGGGTTAGGTTGGGGCTGGCCCGCGGGCTACAATATTCAACCCAATTTACAACGAAAAAATTTCATCAAAAGTTTTGACGGAAAAAAGAATTCCTTCAAAAATTTTGATGGAATATTTTCCGTCCAAAATCTTCGATGAAAATGTGACCCAATGAAAATTACAACGGAAATATTTTTTTTCAAAATTTTTGAAGGAAATGTATCTGTGAAACTTTCGACGGAATTTAGATTGCGTAAAGATTTTTGACAAAATATTTTTTTCGTTGAAATTGTTTACAGAAATATTTTCGTCAAAGTTTTTTACAGAAATAATTTCCGTGGAAATTTTTTAGCAAAAATGTGTTCCGTTTAAAATTTTGATAGAAATATTTTTTATCGAAAATTGTCAAAAAAAAATTTCGTCAAAATTTTTTTCGTCCAAAATTTTGACAAAAACTTTTTTCATCAAAAATTTCGACGTAAGTTTTTGTGTCAAAAATTTTGACGAAAATTTTTTCGTCCAAAATTTCGACGAAAATTTTTTTCGTCCAAAATTTCAAAAAAAACTTTTTTCGTCAAAATTTCGACGTAAATTTTTTCGCCAAAAAATTCAACAAAACTGTTTTCGTCAAAAAATTCGATGGAAATTTTTTCTTCAAAAATTTCGACGGAAATTTTTTCGTCAAAAACTTTTACGGAATTTAGATTCTGTAAAGAATTTTGACGAACTTTTTTTTCGTCAATTTTTTTACAGAAACGTTTTCTATCAAAACTGTTTACGAAAAAATTTCTATGCAATAATTTTTTTTAAAAAGTGACAATTTTCTAAAAACTATTTATTTTTATTTTTTCTAATAATTTCTATGCACCATTTTATTATAAATATTTTTTTAAAAAAATACATATTATTTTTTTAGAAGGCCCGCGGGCTGGCCCTAACCCATAGGGCTTTGGCCCGTGTAGATCTATATCATTGTGGGCTTTTTGGCCCTGCGGGCTTTTTGACCCTAATCCACTTGGGCTAGGGCTAAATGGGCTGGGCTGGCCCGTTTTAACAGCTCTAAATGTAATGGCCCTGACAATAATAGATAAAAAGACAATGACAATAATAATAATGGCGACAATAGTAAGTAATATATACTTAGCTTCTTAAAAATTATTTTAGTGCTGTTCCTTATTTTGACGACAGTAGTTGTAGAATAATTGCCGACTTATATATATAAAAGAAAAAACGTTTCTCCTTTGATATAATTTTTTATCATTTTAGATCTTAGTTGTTGATTTTCGTTTAATCAACGGTTACGATTTATTGAGTTTTATTGTTAATTATTAATTAATTAATTAATTTGACATAATAAATCCTAACCATTGATTGACGGAACTCAATATAAATTTGATTTTAATTTTTATAAATATAAATTGTAAAATTCTAAATACTAATGACTCAAATCCTTGCAAAAAATAATGATTTATTATTATTTTTTAAATGTGATTGTCATAAATGAAAGTCCATATTTGAGATAAAATATAAAAACCTAAATACGGCTATAAGTGCTTTTTTTCTAGATAAATATAAAAACATATTACATGTTGATAGTTAGAGATGATAAACTGAGCTCGGCCCGGAGAGCTGACCCACCAACTTATTTTTGTAACTAAATTAAAATTTCATACTTCCTATTTTATAATTATATTTCTAAATCTGATTTCAATTTTTGTAAATATAAATTTGTAAAATTCAAAATACTAAGGAAACAAATCCTTGCAAAAAAACAATTATTTATTATTATTTTGTAATTCTGATTGTTATAAATGAATATCCAGCTCTGAGATAAAATATAAAAACTTTGATGCAAATATAAGAATTTTTTTGTGTGGATAAATATAAAACTTATTACTTGCTGGTATATAATGCTGACAATTAGAGGTTGCAAACTGGATTCAGTCCGGACGACCGGCCTGCCAACATTTTTTTATAATTAAATTAAAATTTTGACCTTCTTCTTTTATAATTAAATTTCTATTTCTTATTTTGATTTTTGTTCTATTGATGTTTTTTAAAAATTAAAAAAATTTAATGATTATTTTAGTTTTTGTCCAAAACAAATGGAAGAAGTTTTTTTTTTAACCGATGTTATTATTAAACTTACAATCAACAAAATTAGTCATGATATCGAATTGTAGAGTAATACCAGCCAATTCTTTGCAAAATAAAACAAATGACTTGAATATATATACTTAAAATCAAAGTAAAATCACACTTATAGTTATATTTATTTTTTTTAAAATTATATGTGACTTTAAAATATAAATTAGACATAGCTTATTATTTTTAAATATAAAAAACTATTACATGCTGATATAAAATGTTGATAATTAGAGGTGGTAAAATGGGATCTGGAAGGTCAGCCCACCCTCCCCGCCAAATAGTAGAGTTCGAACACCAACACATCTTTTTTTTATTTACTGTCTAACAAATCTATCTTTTTGTGGTTGGTCATTGAATTTATTGCTGTAAATATTTCAAAAACAAGCATATAAACTAACCCTATTCAGATTAAATATGATGCATTAAATATATGTTTATATATATATATATATATATATATATATATATATATATTGTGAACAATTATTTATACTTATGTAATTAAGCAAATGAATGGTCTTTTGATGTTACCACATTTAATATATAAGGTATAACTACAGAAAAAATAGATACATAGTAATCTAGATGTAAGTATAAGAACCTTTTTTATATGGATAAATACGAAAACCTATTATAAGTTGATAGAAAATGTTGACAATTAGAGGTGGCAAAATGAGCTCGGCCCGAAGGGCCGGCCCACCCCGCGTGCGAACAAGTTCCCCCCTTATATCTATTGTCTAACAAATCTGTCTTTGTATGGTTAAGATAATTAAATTTACTACTGTAAATATTTCAGAAACAAACATCTAAATAAAATGAACAATCATATTGTGATAAATAAAAGTGCATCTAAACAAAATGAACAATCAGCATAACATTTAATTTTTGTTCTTCACGTATATTAATTGATTTCATTTTGTAGCAAATTTTTTGTACGGTTTAAATAATAAGACGGGATCATATTGAATAATAATACAAAGGAGAAGGTTCATTGGTGGTTATATTTAAAGAATGAATTATTGAGTACATAACTATATTTGTTTTACATAACAATCAATGCCCATGAGTTGCAAATTTGTTTGTGGTTGATATTTATAAGTTCCGTGTGAATGCTGTAGCCTTTTAGAGTTCAAAAATAGCACAAAATAGCAAAATAATTCTTTTTTATTTCACATAATTATCAAGTAACAGGTTTGCTTTTTTATTTGTTGCTCCTTCGTGTTTATACCTCCACCATAGTACCGTTCAGAGCTTGATAACAAGATGAAGGTGTTGATTTACTGGTGCGATGATTAACCAACGACGGCGACAGCGATTTCGTTCTTTTTTCCCCGGATATCGCACGGGTAAATTCACTAGTATATATAAAAGAAAAAACGTTTCTCCTTTGATATAATTTTTTGTTATTTTAGATCTTAATTGTTGATTTTCGTTTAATCTATGATTTATTGAGTTTTATTGTTAATTACTAATTAATAATAAGTTTGACATAATAAATCCTAACCGTTGATTGACGGAACTCAATAATTATGAGATAAAATGACATAAAGTTATATCTTTTAAAGAACAGACATTATTTTCATATACAAAAATAATAATAATAATAATTTCTCCTGTTAAAACTTACCCATCTTACTCCATAAACATAAAATTGTGAGTTCGATCACAATCTTTTTCTTTTACCACCTTCACTTTTCTGTCTAGATTATTGTCTTTTGTGGGAAGAGGAGTAACTTATCCTGCAGTAACAAATCACCATTTATTAATATATTGATATTTTTATTTATTTATTTATTACGTGAATTTTATTAAAATAATTTCATTAATTCTTTTAACACCCAAAATGACATAATTTTAGGATGATAATAAGGTTATTTCAATTCTCAAGTGACTTGAGAAATCATAAACTCATATATATATATATATATATATATATATATATATAAAATGTTCGTTTTTTCTGCAGTTACTGCAGGTAAGTTATTTAGTGTAAATCCAATACGATGTCGTTTTGGGGCAGAAATCATGGTGTTTTTGTAATTTTAATTTATCTCAGGATTATTATAATCTTTATAATTATAAATTGTTAATATTTCAATCCCAAAACGATGTCGTTTTGGGAGTAAATATAGATAAGTTATCTGCAGTAATTGCAGAAATGTTTTTCTGAATATAAAAGAGGGAAATGTTTTTCTTATGTTATTGGAGATGAGTTATCTTATGTTAGTGAAACAAAATTATAAGAGGGACCTACGATTAATTGGAGAGAAAAAATAAAGATGGAACTCACTTTGTTATGTGTGTGTAGCAATTTGATTTAGCTCATGTTGAATGAGATAAATATAACCATATATATGTGTGTGTGTGTGTGTAGTTCGGATTTTCTACAGTCAATGTATATAAGTTATCTACATTGAGCCCAAAACGAAGTCGTTTGTGGCGGAAATTAAGATGTTTTTGTAATTATAGTTTATTTCAGGGTTATAATAGTCTTTCTAATTATATATAAATATAGATAACTTATCTGCATTCACTGTATAAATATTAAAACCTATATATGTGTGTGCGTGCGTGAGAGAATAATAAGTCTTACATCAAATATTAGTAGTTAGTTTTTATGCATCTTACCGTTAAGGTTTATTAGATGATATTAATTAATTAATTAATATGACTAAATAAAATCTTAACCATTAGATGCTCGAAAATCAACAGTTAAGATTTGATATAAAACTTATTATTCTTACATTGATGTAAATTGATCCCATCCCTATATATATACATTATTATTTGGGGTGGCCGTAGATAAACTTATCTCAAGCAACTTGAGAAATGTTTTTCTATATATATATATATAAGAATGTTATATTTACAAACTATACTATATACTCCGTAGAGTACAATTATAAGTTAGTGTACTCTCAGGAGTAATAGTGTAGTTTGTAAAAAAAAAAATTGTAAATATAACTTTCTTCTTTTATATATATATATATATATATATATATATATATATATATATATATAATTTTTTTCTCTATTCATATTATAATAATACTATTACTTTTTATTTTTTGTACCAAAAAAAAACTTTTTTGTTAAGAATCCTTTAAAAGGACACGCGTTTTTTTCCGTATATAAAATAATAATAATTAATAATAATTTCTTTTGTTAAAAGTTACTCCAATTCCTGCATAAAACATAAAATTGTGAGTTCCATTACAATTTTTTTCTTTTACCACCTTCTTATTTTTTCTCTAGATTATTGTCTTTTGTGGGAAGACAAGTAACTTATGCTGCACTAACAAAACACCCTTTATTAATATATTGATATTTTTATTTATTTACTTATTATATGAATTTTATTAAAATATATTCTTTAATTTTTTTAACAGCCAAAATAACGTAGTTTTAAATGACCGGTAATAAAGTTGTTTCAATTCTCAAGTGACTTGAAAAATGATAAACCCATATATATATATATATATATATATATATATATATATATATATATATATAGAGGTAAGATCCTTTGACACCAGTGTCAAATTTAAAATTTGACAACTCATCTGAAAGTCGTTAGATCAAAAAAGATCAACGGCTCTGATTTGTAAGCATGTTACATCATTGATCTTTTTTGATCTAACAACTATTAGATGAGGTGTCAAATGATCCTATCTCATATATATATACATATATATATATACACACGCACACACACACGCGCACACACACACACACACATATATATGAGGGAAATGTTTTTCTCACTACAGGAAAATACACATTAAAGTCGGTTATTCTACGTCACTATAAAATCTTATGTTATTGGAGATAAGTTATCTTATATTAGTGAAACAAAATTATAAGAGTGACCCACAAATAATTGGAGAAAAAAAAGATAGGACCCACATTTGTTATGTGTGTGTAGCAATTTGGTTTAACTCATGTTGAATGAGATAAATATAACCCTACATATATGTATATATATATAGTTCGATTTTTCTACAGTCAATATAGATAGACAAGTTATATATATTGAGCCCAAAACGTCGTCATTTTGGGGCGGGAATTATAATATTTTTGTAATTATAATTTATTTCAGGTTATAATAGTTTTTCTAATTATAATTTTTTAACTTTTCAATCCAAAACAACGTCATTTTGGGAATGAATGTAGAAAACTTATTTATATTTACTGTAGAAACTTTAAAGCCACACACACATATATATATATATATACATACAGATGGGTTCATTTTTTCTGCGGTCAAGGTCGATAAGTTATCCACATTGAGCCTAAAACAACGTTGTTTTAGGGTAGAAAATAAGATATTTTTATAATTATAATTTATTTCAAGGTTATAATAGACTTTCACATTATAATTTTTTAATTTTTTTTACATAAAACAACATCATTTTGGAAGTGAATGTAGATAACTTATCTACTTTCGCCATAAAAATATTAAAACTTATATGGGGTTTACATTTCTGTAGTTGCTATACGATGAAAATATTAAATGTGAAATCATACAAAAGATGAAAGCATTAAATGTGGGAAATCATAACCAGTAGAGTATCATAACCATACAAAAGATGAAAGCTTTAAATGTGGGGAATTATAACCATACACGTGTCATTGCATAACGTAAAGCAACTGTTAAATGATTTTACCTATATATATATATTCATATTATAATATTACTATTTGTTGAGTATCAATTTGTTATCTGTTTTCTGTTGTAGTAGTTAGTTAAACTGACTCAGTTAGTTAGTAATTAACCCAGGTTAGATAATTGGTTAGTTTTCTGTTTTTACAGTTGTCATTGCTGATCTGATATATATATTGAACTCATTGTACATTCAACTTACTTTTCTAATAATGAAATACTTAGATTCTATTTTCTCTCTGTGTTACCAAATGGAGTGCTTCAGTTTCGTTTGTTTCATGGTATCAGAGCTCTTCACAGAGCTCTGATATTCGCTGTTTCCATTTTCCACTTCAAATTTCATTTGTTGTTTCTTCCTTGTTTTATGCTTGAAATCAACAATTTGCTTCAGATCTATGGCGAATCAGTGTTCTGTGATTACTGAAGAATCAGTGGAGGAACAAGTTCCTGTCACTACCACAGTTCCAAGAAATGATGTGAGATCATCAGTTTCTATCGATATTTCGAATCAGGCAAGTCCTTATTTCTTGCATTCCAATGAGAATCCCTCACTTGTATTGGTTTCAACGTTGATGAATGGTAAGAACTACCATGGTTGGGCCAGAGCCATGAAAATGGCTTTAGTATCGAAGAACAAATTTTCATTTGTTAATGGAACCATATCAGTTCCAGATTTTTTAGATCCAAGATATGCAGCATGGGAGAGGTGCAACACCATGGTTCTTTCATGGTTGCATTGTTCAATTTATGATTCTATTTCTCAGTCAACTTTGTGGATGGATAAAGCTTCGGATGTTTGGAATGATCTCAAAGAGAGATTTTCGCAAGCTGATATCTTCAGAATTTCAGATCTGCAAGATGATCTTTACAAGTTACGTCAAAGTGATACCTCTGTGACAAACTATTATACACAATTGAAAATTTTGTGGGATGAATTAGAGGCATTACAGCCAACTCTAACGTGCCAGTGCACTCATCCTTGCTGTTCAATAACATCAGAAGTGAAAGCTATAAGAGAAAGAGATTATTCAATCCGATTTCTCAAAGGATTGAATGACCAGTTTTCAAATGTAAGGTCTCAGATAATGTTGACGAGTCCATTACCTTCGGTGAATCGTGCATTTTCCCTGGTTATGCAGCAAGAGAGACAGCTGCATCTAGAAGGAGCCTTCACTAATAAAGAAACTCATAGAATTTTTTATAATTCTGGTGATCAATCACAAAGCAGAGGCAGATCTCAAGTACGTGGTAGAGGACGTGGTACATTCATAGGCAGAGGAACAGGAGGTCCTTCGAGACTTTGTACATACTGTGGGAAAACAAATCACACAGTTGAAACTTGTTTCGAAAAATATGGGTATCCCCTTGGTTTCAATCAAAGAGGAGCACCTCACAAGGCTAATGTTACAGCTGTACCACAGGAACAAATGGCACCCTCGATGGAGAGCATGCAAAGTTCAGGAGATAGTTTCACTAATCACCAATATCAGACAATTTTTGAAATGATTCAGCATTCACTCCAACAAGGAGGACCTCACACTAGCAACATGATTCAAGGAAAGTCTTTCAATGCAGACACAACAGATTCCTCATCAGGTATCTTTACTAAGCAATGGATATTAGATACGGGTGCCACTGATCATATTACATGTTCCTATATGAATTTGTCTTACGTTCACAAGATTAAGCCAATTGCTATTTTCCTGCCAAATGGAGGTCAAGTCTTTTCACATTTTTCTGGTACTGTTCAACTATCAGAATCTCTCAAATTGACAAATGTACTGTTTGTTAAAGAATTCAAGGTGAACTTAATATCAGTTGCTAAACTGGTCATGGCATCTAACTATCAGGTGATTTTTTAGCATCCAACCTGCCTCATTCAGCACATGCCATCTCAAAGGATGATTGGTTCTGCTGATTTGAAGAAAGGCTTGTATATTCTTCGAGGCACTAGCTGTCCAGACAAGCATAGTTTACCAACTGATGTTGTCCAATTCAATAATAGTAGTTTTGTTACACAATCTGTTGTTTCTGATAATTGGCACTCTCGCTTGGGACATTGTTCCCAATCTGTAATAAAAGCTATGATAGCTCAATTCCCTTTTATCTCATGTAAGACTTTGGATGAACGATGTGATGTTTGCCATTTGGCTAAACAAAAACGATTGCCTTTTTCTGATAGCAGTATTGTTTCTAATCATGCTTTTGAATTAATCCATATTGATATCTGGGGACCTTGTTCACTTAGCTCCATTCATGGACATCGTTATCTTTTGACAGTAGTGGATGATCATACTCGTTTTACTTGGGGGATTCTTATGAAATCGAAATCAGAGACTAGAAACCATATTCAAGCATTTGTAACACTCATCGAAACTCAATTTAATATCACTATCAAATGTTTTCGAAGTGATAATGGTCCAGAGTTTTTAATGCATGAATTTTTCAGAAACAAAGGCATATTACATCAAACCTCATGTGTGGAATCCCCTCAACAAAATGGTGTTGTTGAGAGGAAACACCAACACATTTTAAACATAGCCAGGGCCCTCTTCTTTCAAAGTAAACTTCCCCAAAGTCTTTGGTCTTACTGCATCACCCATGCCATCTATCTCATTAATCGGTTGTGTTCACCAATGCTGAAGAATAAGTCACCTTTTGAGCTCTTACATAAAAGACCACCTATTGTCATTAATTTGAGGAATTTTGGATGCCTAGCATATGCCTCCACCATTCATAACAGTAGATCAAAATTTGATCCTCGTGCTAGGAGGTGTGCCTTTATAGGACATAAGGATGGTGTTAAGGGATATATCCTTTATGATTTGTCTTCTAAACAAATTTTCTTGTCCAGAGATGTGGTTTTCTATGAAAGGCATTTTCCATTTTCTACTCCAGGAAGTTCAAACCAGGACATTCCATGGCCTCTCATGTTTTCTATGAAATAGAATCAGAAATTGAACGATGACAACATTCCACAACCATCTGATGTCTCTACCCGTGCACAACAACCAGTTATATCACCTCCTCCAACTTCTGATGACAGTACACAACCTATTGTAGCAGAACAAGAATCCATTGACAGCAATCTCATTATTCCTGATGCTCCAAGACATTCTACTAGACTGAGGGGCCCTCCTTCGTACCTTAAAGACTTTCAATGTCTCACGTCCAGTGCCGACCCTACACCAAATGGCAGTCCTGGTACTTGTGCTTATCCCTTATCTTCTGTCCTTTCTTATGATCATTGTTCAGATGAATACACTAAATTCTGTTATAATGTGAGTTCTGTGATTGAGCCACGTTCTTATAAACAAGTTGTCCAAGTTACAGAATGGAACAGTGCAATGAGGGAAGAAATTGATGCACTTGATCGTAATAACACATGGACATTTGTGGATATGCCTAAAGGGAAGAAGCCAATTGGATCAAAATGGGTTTATCGGATAAAGCATAATGCAGATGGATCAATTAATCGATACAAGGCAAGGCTTGTAGAAAAGGGGTACAACCAAATGAAAGGTGTTGATTATTTTTAAACCTTTTCCCCAGTTTCCAAATTGACCACAATTCGACTTCTCTTATCTGTTGCAGCCTCTAGTGGTTGGTTCTTGGAACAACTAGATATCAACAACGTTTTTCTTCACAGAGATCTCTCCGAAGAAGTATACATGTCCATACCGGAAGGTGTTGTTTCTCCTCTTCCTAATCAGGTTTGCAAACTTGCAAAGTCTCTTTATGGACTTAAGCAAGCTTCACGCCAATGGAATGCAAAGTTGACTACTGAACTTCTTACTCTTGGCTATGTGCAATCTGGTGCTGATCATTCTTTTTTTACTAAACAAGCTCCTGATTCTTTCACTGCACTCCTTGTCTATGTAGATGACATGATCTTAACTGGGAATAATATGGCTGAGATACATGCTGTCAAACGTCATCTTGATGATTTATTTAGCATCAAGGATCTTGGCCCCCTCCGGTTCTTCTTGGGATTTGAAGTTGCCAGATCAGAACGCGGTATTGTCTTGAATCAAAGAAAATACACGCTTGAGTTGCTATCAGACAGTGGGTTGCTTGGTGCTAAACCCGCTTCCACTCCTATGTAACCTACACTTCGTTTGTGTCAAAATCAAGGAGCACCATGTCATGATGCAGCTGCTTATCGCAGACTTGTTGGTCGCCTTTTATACCTCACTAATACACGGCCTGACATCTCCTTCGCAGTTCAACAACTCAACCAATTTGTGGCTCATCCCATGCAGTCTCATTTTGATGCAGCACTTCGTGTCATGAGGTATCTTAAAGGATCTCCAGGCAAAGGCATTTTCTTTTCTTCTCGAAATTCCTTCACTTTAGCAGCATTTGCAGATGCGGATTGGGCAACATGCCCTGATACTAGAAAATCTACAACCGGATTTTGTGTTTTTCTTGGATCCTCCTTGATTTCATGGAAGTCCAAGAAGCAAAGTACTGTTAGTCGTTCCTCTGCAGAGGTAGAATACCGAGCCTTGGCCACTTTGACATGTGAGGTGCAATGGCTAACTTATCTTCTCCATGATCTTCACATTCCTATCTCTTCCCCTGCTATGCTTTATTGTGACAACCAAGCTGCTGTGCACTTAGCCCACAATCCTACTTTTCATGAGAGGAGTAAGCACATAAACCTTGACTGCCATATCACCCGCGAGAAGATCAACAACAGTTTAATCCATTTGATTCTTGTCTCCACTCATCAACAGCTTGCCGACATCTTCACGAAGGCACTTCATCCTGCCCCTTTTCGGGAATTGTTGTCCAAGTTGGGATTTTGTGATATCCACCTCCCAACTTGAGGGGGGTGTTGAGTATCAGTTTGTTATCTGTTTTCTGTTGTAGTAGTTAGTTTGTAGTTAGTTAAACTGACTCAGTTAGTTAGTAATTAACCCAGGTTAGATATTGGTTAGTTTTCTGTTTTTACAGTTGTCATTGCTGATCTAATATATATATTGAACTCGTTGTACATTCAACTTACTTTTCTAATAATGAAATACTTAGATTCTATTTTCTCTCTGTGTTACCAAATGGAGTGCTTCAGTTTCGTTTGTTTCACTATTACTTTTTATTATTTGTACCAAAAAATATACTTTTTTTATTAAGAGTCATTTACGTTGGGGCCGGGCCGGCCGACGGTTGCATGCTTCCCCTAACGCTGCTGGAAAATTGAAAACCGCGCATACAAGTAATTTTTTTTATAACTCGAAAGGTATTTTCATTCAACTTCATCTGATTACTTTGTCCTCAGAATGGAGTACGGTCCGAATGCTATTCTTATTGGAATAGCAGGTGCATTGTGCTTTGCTAGCGGAGAAAGGATGAAACTAATCCCCACTTTGTCTCTGACCCTCAAAAATCTTTTTGAGACAGAATTTGAACCACTAACCCAAGTAAACCCTTAAAATCTCAATTGCCAACTGGGCCAGCCTTGAGGTTTACAAATAAATTTCTTTAACAATTGCTGCTAGAGTGTTTTATATTTTGAGAGTGAGAAGAAATTATATTAACCTTTTTAAATTTGTTATAAGAAACTTTTATAATAAATTATTTTGAATTTAAAAAATTAAGGAAAATGCATATATTTAGATTGATAAAATTTGTGTTTAATACACCTTATAAAAGTTTTATTGAAATATTTAAAAATAATAATTAAAATCTCGTACCTATTTGAATTCCTTTTACGTATGTGGAAAAATATTATAATTAATGTTGTTATTTTCTTTTTTAATCATTTATTTTTCCATTTTATTGTAATTAATATTGTTGCTAATGCAGCAGTGTACTTCAAGACTTCAAAGTGCAAAAATTGCTTTATACTTTGTAAAAAGTATACTTTATATTTTTTTCGATAAAATTGTAATACAAGCTTCCGTTCAGTCAACATGGCAATATGCGAAGAGTGATGACCCGGTACAGGTATCCTTTGCCTATATGTTTATAATATGTGGCAATATCAATATGTGTGTAGATTTTCAGAGGCATTTTTTTTTTTCTGGGAGGAGTTTAAAATTCCAAAATTGTAATTTTTATTTTATTTTTTCGATTAAATCGTAATTCAAGCTTCCGTTCATTTTTTTTTGCCTATATGTTTATAATATGTGGCAATATGTGTGTTGCAAATGTGAGAATCCAAAATGCTGACATACATTTTTAAAAAGATCTAAAAAGTTTTTAGCTTTTTAGTTTTTTCTTTGTTATATATATATATATATTTACTATTAGAACTTTTGTAAAATTTTATGTAGTTAAGGTTTTGCTTATAAGAAAAATAAAAGCTTGCAAACAGTCATTCTGCTTGGAAGATCCTAAAACAAAATATATTATCATTGTTATTTGGTAAATTTATAGTTTAAGCTTGAAAGGTGCATGTCTTCTAATCACAAATAACCCCAAAGTATTAATCCAGGTTAGCATCCAGCTTAAATCTTATGACCACTCATTCTCCTTGCCACTTTGTATGAATAATCACTATATCAAAGTTATAGCATTGTATCATTTCTAGTTTTTAGGAAATATAGTTTCTCGTGTTATATGAAACAAAAAAAATGAGTGAAACTCACTTTTTTTTTTCACTTTTCTTTAATTGGTCCCGTATATTTTTATATGCGTGTATGAAACTAAACTATCTCATACAATTTAAGAAAATATATTCACTTTAAACCAACGGAAATACTATTCTTATGTGGTAGGAAGGATGAATAGTTTTTTTTGTTGAAAGATCAAAAATTGAGTTCTTTTTCTTTTTCTCTTTTTTGTTTTAAAAAATAATGGACTCATGAATGTTTGTGTGTGTAGAAAAATTTGCTTATGAGTTGCAACATAAGAAAACTAAAGCACTTAGGTGGTGTTTGGCTCACGGTTTTTCAAAAAGTTTCCTATGCAAACGAAACAAGGATTCCAGAAATGTCTTGTTTGGTAGAATAGATTCACTCAAAAATCCATCCATCCAAGATGCATAGCTTTTTCAATTGGATCACAAAATGACAGCTTTCGGCACTGTTTCGAAACCGTTTTCGTAGGTGGTTTTTTGCAAAAAGATGGCTAAATCACTGTTTGCTTCATTTTTTCACACCCATTATACCCTCTGAAAAGGCAAGAGATGATACGATGGGGAAGCTTGTGTGTCTGGTCAGCAGCTTAGGGCGTGAGTAGATAGAAAGTGAGTACGTTGTCTTCCTTGTGTGGGTTGAAGAGCACCTTCGTACACGGCGACCGGAAGAAAGCATCATTGCATGGTGGTTGTCGACAGAAGGTTTGCTTTCCAGAACTATCGACCTCACCCAGCTTCTCTTTTTTTTCTCTATTTCTCTGCGTATTTCCTTTTCTTTTCATTTTTTTTTTCCATAACTACTCTTTGAAACTGATTGATGTTATGGGTATGTCTGGTATTGAATTACCATGACAAGGATTTGCAATTGCATGGTAGAATGGAGGAACTGCCAGGGGCGTTTGGCACCAGTGCCAGCTTTGCTCTTCGATTGGGGCAAACTGTTTTCTCCTCCGCTTCCCTTCTTTTCATGTGCTTGGACGTTGATTTCTATGGCTACACCGCTTTCTGGTAATTCTGAATTTTCTTATTTATTTTTTATTGAATTTTCATGTGTTTATGTTGCTCTTCTTCAACCCAATTCTGGGTCTGTCTTACTATGTCACTGATCCCCCAAAGTTGATAACTTTTTTCAATTTAATCTTGCCCCATCATCATTTTAAAATGCAATTTACAACTAATTGGTTGCGTTTTGGTAGAATTGAGTTTGAGAATTATTGTTGAAATCAAACTAATGAAGGGTTTCTATTAGTTTGTGGTGGGTATCAGAGAATGGTGTTGTGGGCAGGAGTTGAGGAAGAAAGTAAGTCATGATGGATAGCCTATTCAATTAATTGTTCAGGGCTTTCACACATTCATTGGAATTGTGAGCCAATGTTAGTGTGGTGCAGATCCATTATTTTCAACTTTCTTGAGCCAATGCTCAGTTACTCATATTATAGGCAAAATAATGCAAATATACTTTGGCATTGAAATTGTTTTTGTGCCACTGTAAGGAGGATTATTGAAAACATTGAATAATATAATATAGTGATTTTTGGTCAGAGAAAGTTTATGTATCAGTTATTGGTCATGAGAAATCACATTCAATTAGCCTATTAATCTATTGCCATGTTGCTGGCCAAACCGCTGGAGAAAAAACAATAAATTTTGGCTTTGTAGTAGAAGTAATGAGAATGGATGATCTCAAGTTGTTTTTGTTGAATTTAAATCTTTGGTTAGATTAATATAAAGTTGCCAGCACTGTTTTTGCATTCTTCACTTCAGTGTTCCTTTTTTCTAATTACGTTAGCCATGTAATGCAATTTCACATGCAATGTGGAGGTGTTGGTATGATGACCAAGGTGCTGGCCTAAAAGCTCCAACTTTTCACTTTAACATGGTTTGGTTGTGATTAGAGGACATATTTCTTTGTGAATAGTTTGTTTATATAGCAAGTATATAGTTTAAAACCTACAGTAGGTTAATCCTAATACACACTAAAATACTTCAAGGACTCTGCTTTTATACTTCACCAATGCACTAATGATATTAGAATTTTTCTATAGTTGGTCGTATGAATTATATAATACTTCTTTTATGTCTGTCAGTTTCACTCATTGGTATTTATTCTGTCAGCATGGTCTTCATTTTGTGCATTATGTACTGCCAACTGCCTCACATTTTAACTTTGTCTCATTATTTTGATTGTGTCCTAGTCTTTTTGTCATGCTACAACGGGGAAAAAGTCATTTTGTGGAGAAGAACATTGGAGTTCCTTTCTCATGGGCATTGACAAAGTGCTCATGCATCAGGTTATGATGTTTGCCTCTTGATGATGTGAAAAATTGTTGATCCATGTCTTCCCAGATAAACTCCAAAGGCCAACAGCATGAACCATTCAAGCATATGTGTTTGATGTAGGGTTTATGAAGTAAATATTCTACTGTTTTTGTTTTTAGTTTGTTGCATCTTAACTCTGTAATTTAATATAAATGTGATATGTTAACCAGGTCCAAATTACTTCTCCATTCACTGTCTGTACTCAAATGACAATGATATTGGATTTTAGTAAGATGGTTATCAACACAATACAGTGTTACTATTTTATGCTTGCTTCCTTTTAATTAAGTTGATGTTTCTAGTTACATACGTATCAGGAAAAAATGTTAAAAAAAAAGTCAGTGTCTATCTCTTTTTTCATATGGTAATGTATTATTACTCAAGGTGAATGAAAGTCACAGCACCACCAGTTTGGCTAAACGAAGAATATGGCTACTTGAATAATAGTAAAAAAGAAGAACATTGCCATAATAGATTGGGTGTGATGGTGTATACTTTACAGTGATGTCAACATTTATTTCCAAAAAATTAGATATTGTTATTATTATCATCATCATTATTACTATTTTGATAAAAAGAAAAGTTAGATATTGTTAACAAAAGATGTATAACACAGCAGATACTGAAACAGTACCAATCAAACGCAACATAATTGGTGTGAAAAATTCAAATGAATAATATGTGGTTTCCACAGAATGGAGAAATAATTATATTCCAGCAAAGTTCATAAAACTCAATTCCTAATCAAGCTTCCGTAATGGGCATTCAGAAAAGAAACGTTAAATAAAAAAGTAATACAATCAGTCATCACAGGGAGCCAACCAGACTTTCTGGTTAGAAATTACGTGATTTTAAAATCAGGGTTATTTTCGTAATAACAACTTATTTTCCCATCTATATTTTACCTCCAACCAAACATAGATTTTATAAAAGTTATCTAATTTTTCCAGTAAACTTTTTCTCAACCAAACAACTTTTTTTTACATTTTCCTATCTATCTCACTTTATCTCACTTTTCAACTATTTCCCTATCAATTACATTTCCCTAGTATTCAAAATTTTTTTTCTCAACCAAACGCCCCCTTAAACCAATGCTATAATCCTATTGTTATAGAAAAATATTTCCTGACTCGACACTCTGTTCATATACTAAATTATACACATCTTTGAAAACTTAAATATAAACAACAAGAACTCATTTATTTTCCATAACCATAACCTTCTATAATATTTCTCTTAGTAATCTTTTAAACTTAATTTCAGGTCGATGAAAATTGCGTTTATTTTTATTTTTTTATTTCCTTGCCATCCCATCTAACTATGTAAAAAAATAATGCTTTCACAAGCATAAATCAAAATAAGTTATTTGAAATATATAATTAGTCTCTTGTCCTAATCTTTATTCAATTTATTTCTTACAGTTTTTAGATTGTGATTGATGTAATTTTTTTTATATTTTACATGCATATCTCATTTGTTATTGTAAAGAGAGATAAAATGTTTCTTTTTCTTTCATTGCAATTTAAGACTGTGTCATCTCATTGTATTAAACCGTGATCATAAACTTAGGAACACATTACATTCTGAATTTTATGCTGGGCCAGCCTATACCAAGAGGTTGAAAAATTTCTGTCCATCTTAGAAAAAAAATTAGCAAACCAAAAGACTGACCCATATAACCTTTGGTCCATTTTTTAGACACGGCATCACCATCCAACGGGGAACATAAACAAAAATATCATAAATAATTTACATGTATCTTAGAGTTGAGAGATACGGATTGAATTCGGAGATCCTAGTCTTGCATGTTATTATCATGGCATAATTGCGGAATTGAAATGAATAAGCATCGTGGAAATACAGATTTAAATAACATTAATTATTGTTTACATATTAATATCAGAAATTAAAAGCGTGAAAACAACATGATTGTTACTATTATCTGACAAGATGATTTTATTATTAGATAAAATTATTTATGTATTTACTCCACACAAAATCGTGCTTCTTCGATTCTACTGCTATTACTATTATAAAAATTTAAACGCACAATAATTGACAAATAGATATCAACAAAAAAAAAATTAAAAATACAGAAATACATTATTTTAAAAATAAATAAATAAAGACATATTTACTTTTAAATAACTTTTTATTCACGTGTTTTTTTTTTTTTCGGTTACACATATTCAGGATAGCAAATCCAAAAAAACCTGTATGAGTAAGCTTCTTGTGCCTGGCACATCTGAGTGCATACGCGTGTAGTTTATCTTTCAATATCCATCATCAATTATTTTATTAATAAACCAACGGCCGCAAAACACTCCCTCACTGACACGGCCTCCAAACCCTTTGCTCATAAATCTGCCACAGCCGCGGCAACTGTGGCCGTTGGCGGAACCTCATTCGTCAGCTCACGTGACGCGACTCCACGGTGGCGCCGTCGCTGCACCCCCTACTCATTTCTCGCTTGTCTTGATGCTTGGTCACGCTCCTTGCTCGTGCGCGCGTGAGTTACACGCAACCAATAAACCTACCCTTTCATGTCCTTGTTAGCTTTCCTATTCCACATGGGTTTCTTCCGTTAATTGTTTTCGTTATTTAGAGGTGTGTATTAGACGCTCCTTTAACGCGGCGTGAGCTTCGGTAAAGCAAGAAATGATCCCCTACGGTGAAAGTCCTCAATAATTCCCAACACTAGCCCAATCAGAGTCATCCAAGTGGAAGAAAATCAATTATCACAAGAGAGAGAAATGAAAACGCTAGAAAGGAGTAGAGAACACCGAGGTTCACATGAACCTTGCCGTATTTAAGTACTCCCTTTCTCCTTTACCATCAGAATTAAATAAAGCTCGCTCTTCCACATTGAGGTTCTTCTCTCTAATTCCATTCGAGCTTTCTCCTCGTGTGTATCTGAGAGATTTCTAGGGTTTTCAGTGAGATTGAAATTCCTTACGCACGCAGAGACTAGGGTTTTTATTTTTTTAATTTTCTTTCCTTCTTCATGTTAACCGTGACGGTTCATTGCATTGGTTTCTGAATGAAATTTCACTTCCGAAACACCAATCTCGGTTCCCCTCAATGTGATGACTTCTATCGCCGCCGGTGAATGGCTCGATTTCGTTTCCGGCGCCTCCGTTTCTTCGCCATCTTCGCGTTCGCCCTCGTCAGGCACAGTTTGTGTGACGAATCCACGAGCAACGAGTTGGGGCGCGATTTTTCCGTAACTGATTTTGATTGGAACCTTTTTCATCAGGATTACTCGCCGCCGGCTCCTCCGCCGCCACCGCCTCACCCGCCGTCGGTGTCGTGCGTGGACGATCTTGGCGGGGTTGGGTCTCTGGACACGACGTGCAAGATAGTGAACGATGCGAACCTCACTCGCGATGCGTACATAGCAGGGAAGGGCAATTTTAACATCCTACCTGGGGTGAGGTTTCACTGCAAGATTCCCGGGTGCAGGATAAACTTTAATATTACTGGTAATTTTAGTTTAGGTACCAACTCGTCGATTGTCACCGGAGCTTTTGAGCTGGAGGCAGAGAATGCTGTTTTTGGAAATGGTACGGCGGTGAACACGACGGGAATGGCGGGTCAGCCTCCTCCTCAGACGAGTGGTACTCCCCAAGGTGTTAGTGGGGGTGGCGGGGGGCATGGTGGGAGGGGTGCCGGCTGTTTGGTTGACACGTCGAAGCTCCCGGAGGATGTATGGGGAGGGGATCCGTATGCATGGGCTACGCTGCAGAACCCGTATAGTTATGGGAGCAAGGGTGGCTCCACAAGCAAGGAGAGTGACTATGGTGGGTTGGGCGGTGGCCTTGTGAGGATGGTTATTCATCAAGTTGTTGAGATGAATGCAACTGTGTTGGCTGATGGGGCCGATGGAGGGACCAAAGGTGGAGGTGGCTCTGGAGGCAGCATCTACATCAAGGCTCACAGAATGTAATAGTTTTATTTATTTCTATCTTATTTGGTTAACGTAAGCATAATCTTATTGAATCAGAACTATTATGATTGTCATCTTTCTATTCTAATAGGTCTCTGATTGGGCGATATCTAGTTTGCAGTTTTGATTTTCATCTTGACATCTTCATTCTTGCTGTGTATTCGCTATTTTTTCCCCTTCCAAATTTTTAGTCTGTTACCGTACTCTCTATATGCCTCGTTATAATTTTAAAGTGAGATTATATATGCTGACACTCACTTGAGAAAACATGATTTAAATTAAAGATCTTTTTGTGAAGTTAATACACTTATGGTCTAGGCTTTGAAGTTCATTATTACCTTGTAATCTGTTTATAAGCTTATTAATATCTCCACATGAAACTATAAGTTCATTATTACCCTCAATCATATTAACCTCGATGTTTCTCCTTTTTAATCTGTTCTTATCTCCCCGACACATTGCAACAATAAGGTGAAGTCTTCACAAAAAAGAAGTTGAAGTTACATCTTATCTGTCTATCTGATAATGGCAAAAACCAAATGGTTAAATTTTAAACGGCTTTCATCATACCCAGATAGTGTTTTCAACCTAGCCAGTTGTTAGCTTTTTGTAAGTCAGCGCTGTATGTTGCATGGTTATATAAGAGACATAACTGATACAAGTTACCAAATGTCTTTTCTGTAAAATCTTGTCTGGGAAGTTTCTTCTTTCTTGGTAACAATTGTTTATGCTGTTTCCATGTTGCTGCATTCCATGGTGTGGTTGTCTATATATGACATCAGCTACTCATCATCATTATCATAATGAATATAGTAGCGTGTGTGTGTGTGTGTGTGTATGTATATTTATATATAAATTTTCAACTATCACCTATATTTGTATAGGTATCTATTACTGAAAACATTAAGCCACATCAAAGTTTGTTGGCGAATGTATGCGTCTACAAATATACATTTGAAGGATTTTTTATCCCTACATTCATATGCCTAGTTGTATTAGCCAATAATGAATGTATTAAATTAGTTTTGTGCCTGATTGCAATTCAAATGTAATGTACTTTTCATGATTCTAGTTTTTATGTTTTTTCTTTGATCTGTTTTTTTCTTTTAAAGAGCAGGACTGGTAGTGGGATGATAAGTGCTTGTGGAGGTAATGGTTTTGCTGGTGGTGGCGGCGGGAGAGTTTCAGTTGACGTTTTCAGTAGGCATGATGAGCCCAAAATTTACGTGCATGGTGAGGATTTTATGTTTTTGCTTTGGTTAGCTCTTTCTAAATATAATTTGAAGAGACCTTCCCTGCAAATCAAGTACTCCTATATGCTAATATATAGGGTAACATGTTACCTTGTTCAAATCTGTAAAGAAATAGCTATAAGTAGGTGTCATTGTTAGGATTTAAAAATTCTATTTCAATCTTTTAGTTGAGTCTTAAAGAGAGTGATGTTCGGAAAACCAACCCCTTCTCCTCAGGTATGTTGGTTATGAGAAGATGCAATGAGTAATTATGTATTTTGAATTGGTGTACGAATTTTTGGGAGAATAATGTTCTGAAGAATCAGGGTTGTGGAACTTCCACTGTGAGGAGCACCTGATTGCTATTTAAAAGTCTCTTGTCTTCGATTTGTTTATGGATGATAAGGCAAATATTTAGAAATGAACTGTTAACTATTTTCGGCACTTTACTGGAATTACCTTGCACTTGAGTTAAACAAATAGGATTTGAGGAGCTACTCTCTACTCTAGATGATTTTAAAATTCTTGTATGACTTTACTATTGTGTTTAGCTATGTTGGGATTCCGAACTTATCAACAGTTATGTTGACTGCACAATTGATTTCTTATTTCAGGTGGTAGTAGCTTGGGCTGTCCTGAAAATGCAGGTGCTGCTGGGACTCTCTATGATGCGGTTCCTCGAAGCCTTATAGTTGATAACTTTAACATGACAACTGATACAGAGACACTTCTGTTGGAGTTTCCTAATCAACCTCTTTGGACTAATGTTTATGTTCGAAATAAGGCTAGGGCCACGGTTCCTTTGCTTTGGAGTCGTGTACAGGTTTGTCAAATGCAGATCTATAAATTAGTTGGATAATGCTGATTTTCTGTTAATAAACCTCTTTTCTTTTCTTCCTTGTCTGGTGACAGATTTTTTTCTTATTCTTTGATTTTTATTTTGCTTTTTTTTATTTTTTTACATGAGTACATGAACATATACGAGTACTTCGAATGAAACATATGAAGAAGGAAAAACAAATTAGGCAATTAAATCATATGATTGGACAGGGATCTTTGGAAAAGGGAATTTAATGTTGTTCTACCCAGTTTTATGAGGGATAGGTTTAGTATTTTATATTGCAATTACTGTGTTTGCCAAAATTGACTCCCTCAAAGAAGCCAAGTTCCGAAGCAACTCGCCAGTATAAGTTTGGATATTTTTAATAAACTGTCGAGCCAGAATAATCCCACTGACAAAATTGTTGAAGATAAAAGCAATGAAGCACCAAATACGATAACTTACTGGAGTATGTGTCTTCATAAGCTTTTATTCCATTTGCTTGATATGTATTTGTTTATATTGACTTGTATTGTACTGCTAACTATGGGTTCTTTTAAATCCATATTTTTCTAGTTCAGGAGCTTTCTTCGGGCTGATGTGAATTCAATCTATTATCTATCTTTTAATGCTTTTTTTTTTTTTGGGGTGTGGGGTGGTTTGATGCAAAGTGATTGAAAATTTTAACATTCTCTTGACTCCCTCCTAAGTTTTGGCTATCTGTTAGTATTCTTGGCTTGCTGCTGCTTAGAGGATGCCTTATTTTCTGCCTTTTATTATAAAGATTTTGGCTTGTTTAATTCTGTTTTCAAAAACAGTTTTTTAATTTTCAGAACAAAAAAAGAAATACCCGTTTGATCATGCTTGTTTTGTAAAAATAGTTCTAAAAATTGTAACTGTTTTTGTAGTTTTTAGAATCAATTTTAGAGAACATATTTTAGTTGTTTCTGTTTTGTGTTTTGATTTTTAACTTTCGAAACAATAAAACCACAGAAAACACTCATTTCATTGACTATTCTACAAAACAGTTTTAAAAACAAAAAAAGAAGAACATAATCAAACAGGCCCGAAGTCTGTATATTTCCTTTCCTTTCTAATAAATTCTTTGATCCAAAAAAAGATGGTAAGCTTCCTCTCTGTTTTCCATGCATATTGTGATGCATGTTCTGTTTTATTTTTAATCTGGCATAAAAAATATTTTTGGCATGTGAGGGAATCAGTCAACTACCTGTTCCTTTTGTTATTCATTGTATAGGTGCAAGGACAGATAAGCCTATTGCAGGGTGGGGTGTTGAGCTTTGGGCTGCGTCACTATGCTACATCGGAGTTTGAGTTACTGGCTGAAGAACTGTTAATGAGTGATTCTGTGATGAAGGTAGCTGGGATCTCTTGGAGTTTGTTTAGTAAATCTTGTTCCTTGGTTCATTGTTGAGCCTTAGTTCCACTGTCTGTTGCATCTTTGAATAGTTCTTTAGAACTACTAAACATAAATGTGCATATCTGAAATAGGCTGCACCATTTTTTTAATACTATCTAGTAATGTTCCAATGTTATTTATTAACGCCTTACACTTAATTTCTATGACAAAGGTATATGGAGCTCTTCGCATGTCTGTAAAAATGTTCTTGATGTGGAACTCAAAAATGCTCATAGATGGCGGGGAAGATATAACAGTGGCAACTTCTTTGCTTGAGGCTAGTAATTTGATTGTTCTCAGGGTATTTAACAACTCCTTGACTATGCAATATAATTCCATATATCTTCACATATGACCCATCAGGTTTTATTAACAGGAGTCTTCTGTGATACATTCCAATGCCAACCTTGGAGTTCATGGACAAGGTCTACTTAATTTGTCGGGCCCAGGAGATTGGATTGAAGCACAGCGTTTGGTTTTATCCCTATTTTATAGTATTCATGTGAGACATTGTTTTGTTTTTACCACTGATCATTCGTGTAGTCTTTTAAGCACTTAATTCCCTGTCTGATTTATCTAGAGTAATGAATTGGGAGATCTCATTTCTCTTGGCATTAGACTAACTTTCTTTTCATCCATCATTTCATATTGATTTGTAAGTCTTCATTATTTCCTGTGTCTTTCTTTCTTTTGTTCAAAAATTAATCTAATACAATATTGTTATGTTCTAATGTTAGTCTATTATGAATACTTTGGGTTATTATTAGTATGGGGAATGTTATATTTACAAACTCTTACAAACTACATTATGTCTTATCGGTAAGACACTCTTGAGTGAAGTCTTACTGGTAAGACATAGTGTAGTTTGTAAGTTTGTAAAAAAAAAGTTTGTGAATATAATCCTCCTCTATTAGTATAATGAAATGATGCAAAGATGTTTTTAAGTCCTGGTCAAGCACATATTTCAGCAAAACAAATCAATTACAATAAAGCTCACCAATTGTCTAAATTCCTATCGACTAAACCGTCATAAACCATGAGCAGTTGAGCTGACCACCAAAGAGAAGCCACGAAGACAATCCTATCACATATAGATCTAAGGTCAACAATTACTCCTCAAATTTTAACCATTCTGCTCAAACCAATCACACCCAAGCAACGCATAGAAAACTCATAATTACAAATTTTCTCCACTTTATGCCTCCCTAAACTTTTAAAACCAATCCGAAGGAACTGCTTTTTTGTGTTTATGCTCAAAGACTGATGAAAGTTGAAACTGTCAGAGAAAAATATCATAATGATTACTGATTATGGTTATTGGCTCTAGTCACATCTTGTCAGAATCTTGGCTTTATTTGGTGCTTACTCATTTTCTGCATACTTTTTGGGGCACAATAGACTGTTTTTGTCCATTGCGTCATTATTTTGGTGGCTCAATTGTACTTTTTCAATGTTCTTGGTTCTTCCAACAATTTGGGTTTGGGTCTTGTAACTTGTTAATTCTTTTATGTTAAATATAACCACTGTGGCAACTTGATTGCCTCTGGCAGTAGCCAGTGGTGATATTAGTGTATGTTCTTTGTGTTTTGGTTAAGTTTTATTTGGTCTTACCTCTAAAATTTGACTTTGCTTTTGACATTTTTGGTAGGTTGGGCCTGGATCTGTCTTGCGTGGTCCATTGGAGAATGCCACAACTGATGATATGTACGGTTGGATGTTGTCAAATCGTCTTTTGTTGACTTCTAATTCTGTGCATTAGTTTCTAGTTATGCTAAATTTTTATACTCGTATAATTGACAGTACTCCAAAGCTTTACTGTGACAACAAAGATTGCCCCTATGAATTACTTCATCCTCCTGAAGATTGCAATGTGAATTCATCCTTGTCATTCACACTTCAGGTAGTTTCGATGGTGTAATGGATTTGCTTATGCCAATATGTCTACAGCTGAAACTTGAAAACTCTATGTTGTCTTTCTAGATCTGCCGGGTTGAGGACGTCCTTGTTGAAGGCCTTATAAAAGGTTCTGTTGTTCATTTCCACAGGGCAAGGACCATAACTGTTGAATCTTCTGGAATAATATCTGCATCTGGAATGGGTATGTTTCCTTGTTGTCCTAGAGGTTGTTGTCACTTTTTAACTCAAATAACTGTGCACTTCCTTTATTCTTTGTGTGTCTAAAAACAAATTTTGCAGGCTGTACTGGTGGTTTGGGCCGTGGGAATATTCTAAGTAATGGTATTGGCAGTGGTGGTGGACATGGTGGTAAAGGTGGGGAGGCATGTTATAATGATACTTGTGTTGAGGGTGGGATTTCATATGGGACTGCAAACCTTCCCTGTGAACTTGGTAGTGGAAGTGGAAATGTCAGCTCAACTGGTATCACAGCTGGGGGTGGTATCATTGGTAAGCTTATGTTTGTGTCAGTTAATGAGTTCTTTTTGAGTATTTGAAGATGTTGATCACCACAAATTTTCTTTAATTTGCATTCTTGTGTTATATCTGTTGAGCAGTCATGGGATCATTAGAACATCCCTTGTCAAGTTTGTCCATACAAGGCTCTGTAAGTGCTGACGGAGAGAATTTTGAACCAGCAATCAGAATGGAAAAATATGCAATTTTTGATAATTCAACTGGAGGTCCTGGGGGTGGATCTGGTGGCACTATACTGTTGTTTCTCCATACCATTGCTATTGATGAATCAGCTATTCTTTCCTCTATGGGAGGATGTGGCAGTTTTAATGGAGGTGGTGGTGGAGGTGGTGGAAGAATTCATCTTCATTGGTCTGACATTCCCACTGGAGACGTTTATCAGCCCATTGCTAGTGTGAAAGGAGACATCCTGACTGGGTATGCCTATAATAAGCTTTTGCTGTAACTCTAATATATTATTTTAATCTGAATTTGCTTAATATTTCTGGGTGCAACTAAGTGTTCAAGGAAGTATTTGTTGGTGCATGTTATAGTGTGCCTATCGGCTGAAGAATGTCAGCTAAACTTTATGAGCTTGTAATCTTTCTTTTTTCCTAGCTGCCTTTTTACCCAAAAATAGAGTGCAGCCAGTGTTTGATGTAAATTTGCTACTGTTTTAGTAGCTGTAGTTGCCATTGATGTTAGTTTTCTTTGGTTTTTTATTTTCTATTTATCGTTTTCCTGTACCTCCAAATGAATAGATTTTCATTCTTTACCTTTATCAACATGGTAATAGCTTCTTCCTAGCAGAAGAGTAATTTTATTAGAAGGCTGTTAGCTAATGTTCTTTGTTTTTTTTTTTGTTAGAAAAAAAAGGTATGGTTAAAGAGATAAGTACAACCGGAACAAGGATATGACATCCTTGAGCTGGAAAATCTCTCTTGCTTTGTTTCTTCTTCTTTTTTTTTTTTTTAAAGAAGCAAAAGTAAAGAAAGGAAACTAGGAAAGCAGCAAGGCTGCCCAATACCTTTGCATATCAGAGATGGATGCTCCCTTGAACGGCAGCCTCGGGAAGAACTCACAAGATAGACTTAGAACATAACTCTGTCCCAAACCTAATTTAAAGGGTAATAATATGACACCCTTAAAAATGCACATATCCTGCTCCAGCCAGATGCACCTGATAATAGCAAAGTTATCACATTTGACCTCTCTACTCTTGCTAAACCTCAAACTGGACCATAAACAACTGCTCTAGTATAGAAGGGCACTCATAGTGGCCATCAGTCCCATCACGTATTACACATCCTGAAATGTTTTGAGACATGCAAATCTGTAGCAAATTTTTGCTGTGAATCCTTTTAGGCTAATGTATTTATTCTCCTACTTGGGAGTTGGGGTTGTAATTAGGGTTTGAGTTAGAAGAGAACTTATTTCTTTTCATTTTCTTTGCTATGGTCTTGTAAACATAACTTTTAGCTTGTATATTTTTATCCCAAAAAAAATACTTTTAGCTTTTATATGCTAAAGGTAGCATTTCCCTTCATGACCACTCACGCTTCTCGTCAGCATCAGAATGGAACTATGCGTAGCTTCAGGGGTGATTGCAGCCACAAACATCTGATCTGAAGGCTTAAAATTTGACACTTTTTTTTGTAAATAAATTTTATTAAATATTTTTTCCTTGATGTTTTCTGTTTTAGCACTTTGTAATTTGTTTCCAGTTCTGCCCTTGCTTTTCATTCATGTTGTAATGGTAATTATATCTGATTATGATAGGGGAGGAAAGGGTAAAGGCCAAGGTGGGTCTGGAGAAAATGGCACGATAACTGGGAAGGCTTGCCCCAAAGGGCTCTACGGTACATTTTGTGAGGTATATTTTCTTTCTGTTTTCCCCAATTCTGTTATGATTCTATATTTATTTATGGGCTTTCCCTAGTTTTCTGTTCATGAGTTTCCATGTTTACTCAATGCTTGACGTTACTCTATGTGTCTTGATGTTTTGTCTAAATATGTTACTTTTAATGATTAAACATGTGTGGAGGGGATAATAGTTCGGCATTTGTGGTCTCTGGTTGTCATCACTTTTTTAAGATTCTACATTATTTATATTGTAAACTCTATATGGTGGCAGATTGACGAGAGTGATATATTGATAAATCATGAAGGGAAATGAACTTTCCTTTTTTTGGGGGGCGTATACATAAGAGTGATGTTAATAGTTCAAGTTGCAGTAGACATAGAAATGCAATTTTGCTTATGTGTTCTCTACAAGGTTCGCAATACGTATCTTGTACGTTCAGTCGGTTTTTTATCGTGTATCGTGAATTGTATCGAATCGTAAGATAAAGAAACATAATAAAAAATAATTTAAAAATATATAATATCATATAAATCCAAATTCCAAAAAGAATCCAATCAACAAAATACTAAGCAACTAAAATTCAAACAAGTTATTCTCCTACTCATCAATCATCAAGATTAATATTATCACTATCAGCTTCTATTAGTGACATAACTAATACTGGTTTTTGTTGATTGATTTTTGAATTTAAATCACAAATCAAATCTTTGTTTTCTTTCCCTTGTTAATAATGATTTTTCAGATTTTTTTTAATTTGAATATCTTTATTTACTTTTCTCAAGTAATAGATACTTTTCAGATTTTTTTATACGAAAACTGTCAATTTGTATTTGATTTTTGTATCGTATGATACATGATTCGATACCATATCGTACGATATGGCGATACACAATCCAATACAAAGACTCATTCCAATACAAAGACTCATTCCGATACAACCAACTAATACGTATAACGGAGATTCTGTATCGTATGTGTATCGTACGATATTGATGCTTGTGCTGCAAGCTGGGGCAGCCATGTTGTTGATGCAACTTATGCAAGTGATTATTCACTGTCAACAACCTTCACTTTTGGCAACCATGCACAGCTGTTTTTTGTGTTTTTGCTTTGGTTTTGTAGATTCAGCTAGCCTTAGTAGAATCCAGTTCCCTTTTTAATTGCGTAGCATTGGCTAGAAAGTGTTTAAAAGATGAAACATGGTTTCTGGGCTGCAATCTCATAGTTGAATGCTTTTTGACTGGCATCCCACCTTTCTCAGCGCCTAGGCTGGCCCCAGCTTTTGACAACACTATTTAGAGGAAGCTTACTCTAATAGGAGCTTTCTTTACTCTCTTTGTCTTGTGTTCTCTGACTACTTCCTTGCTTTTCATTTTATGGTGACTAGTAGATGCTTCCATCTTCTACTCATAGGCTTTTATGCATCTTGCTTGCCTCCAGGAATGTCCAGCCGGCACTTACAAGAATGTTACTGGATCTGATAGATCACTTTGTCACCATTGTCCTGTTAACGAGCTTCCTCACCGTGCTGCTTATATTTCAGTCAGAGGTAGATTTTACAGTTTACTGGATGATTAAGCAAACAGGCATGCAAGAGACTTTATTCTCATGTAGTTTGAAATATTATATTGTGAAAGCTGAAGGATTTTATGATCATGGATTTGTATTTTTGTCGTTTATTCATTTATTGGGAAAAGTGTTTGTAATTTTAAAGGACACATGTTTGTATCATTTTAAGTGAAACTACTTTGTTTTGGTGATTTTTACCTTCTCTCTCCTCCTAATTTTGTGGAGGAGAGAGAATATAAAAAACCAATAAATATGCATCAAAACACATTAATTTCACTGAAAATGACACAAACTTGTATTCTTTAAAATGATATGCATTTTTTCCTTATTTATTTATTTATTTTTAAGGGTTGGGGTGGGTGGGTTTTGCAACGCCCTTTGTTGCTTCAATTATCTTCTAAAAGACCTTCATTCTTATCATGATATGGTGCATCATTGCTTAAATTGTCATCTTGTCTTTTTCTACAGGTGGTATTGCTGAAACCCCCTGCCCTTACCAATGCATTTCAGACAGATACCACATGCCTGACTGTTACACAGCTCTTGAAGAGTTAATTTACACATTTGGTGGGCCTTGGTTATTCGGTCTTTTTCTTACGGGTCTTTTGATCCTGTTAGCACTGGTGCTTAGTGTCGCAAGAATGAAATTTGTCGGGGTCGATGAATTACCAGGCCCAGCACCCACCCAACATGGCTCTCAAATAGATCACTCCTTCCCTTTCTTGGAGTCACTCAATGAGGTTTTCCTCAAACTATGTGGTTCCTTTTCTGATATTTGTGAATTAAGATGATCATACTTCTTAACAGTAGCTATTTTGTTTTTTTAACAAAAAAATCTTTGTTAATGGTATATGCTGATGACGTGTTGATGTGCAATGCGTAGGTCTTAGAAACAAACAGAGTCGAGGAGTCCCAGAGTCATGTTCATAGAATGTTCTTTATGGGACCTAATACTTTCAGTGAGCCCTGGCATCTGCCGCACACACCTTCTGAACAAATACAGGATATTGTGTTAGTAAAACTTTCTTCTGTTTGATCCTTGTAGATTCTGTGGTTGAAATTTGAGGATGTCAGCTATTTTATTTTAATTCTTTTAATGTTATTCACTTATTTGGTTATGATATTGAGATGGAGATCTTCCAACATTTGATGTGGCAGTTATGAGAGTGCATTCAATACATTTGTGGATGAGATTAATGCTATAGCAGCTTATCAATGGTGGGAGGGAGCATTATATAGCATTCTTTCTGTTCTTGCATATCCCCTATCATGGTCATGGCAACAATGGCGTAGGAGACTGAAGTTGCAACGTTTGCGCGAGTTTGTTCGATCAGAGTATGATCACGCTTGCCTTCGTTCTTGCCGCTCACGAGCTCTATATGAAGGGATTAAGGTTTGACTTGTTCATGTGCATATTGAACATGTAAATGATGAAATATTTGATATTCAGTTGATTTGTTAATGAATTGTGTTGGTTCAGGCGCGTCTCTTGATCCTGTCCTAATGTATATTCATGTGGTCAAAATACAAATTTGAGTTTATTAAATCTGGATAACTGTACACTTGCTGACTGAATGGTTTGTTTTTATTTCGTTGTCATGCCTGGTTAGTTGTAGTCCTATAGTTAAAGCATCGGTAATCTGTTATATCAGATGCCCTTTAGTTTATTGCATCACTGTTGATCATATTGTTATCATTTCTTTTTTATAAATAGACAGGATGAGATCATTAGTTTAAAACTATTGGGGTTGTTGATAACTGAAGATAAAATATTTCATATTTTCCTGTCTGACATGTCAGCATCATAAAGTCTTCATTTTCTTTTTTCTTTTTCTTTTTTAATTGAAGAGCTGTTCATTAAGAATAAAATGTTCTTTAGATCGCTTTGCAGCTTTTCATTTCAATTGAAATCAGATTGAATCTAAATATTGAATGCTATGTCAGAATGTTAATTGACCTGTAAAATGATATAGGTAAATGCAACTTCTGACTTGATGCTTGCTTATGTGGACTTCTTTCTTGGTGGGGATGAAAAGAGGACAGACCTTCCTCCCAGATTAACTGAAAGGTTCCCGATGTCATTGCTTTTTGGAGGTGATGGAAGCTATATGGCTCCATTCTCCCTTCAAAATGATAATATCCTTACTAGCCTCATGAGTCAGGTTTGTTTATTGATTTTGGGGAACTCAATTTATGTTATGTACAGATACACTTAGATACATGTGTCTTGTTACTTTTTGTTCCATTCCTAGGGAACTCAATTATATACACTTAGATACATGTTCTTGTTACTTTTTGTTCCATTCCTAGGGAACTCAATTATATACATATTTTAAATGTTGTTTGCAGTCTGTTCAACCTACAACATGGTATCGATTGGTTGCTGGGCTGAATGCACAATTGCGGTTAGTTCGCCGTGGAAGACTAAAAGTAACATTTCGTCCTGTCCTTAGATGGCTTGAGACTCATGCCAATCCTGCTTTGAGTATCCATGGTGTACGCGTTGATCTTGCCTGGTTTCAGGCCACAAGTAGTGGCTATTGCCACTATGGACTTGTGGTTTATGCTCTCGAGGAAGGTTATCCAGCCACTGGAGGAAGTATTGATGGAGCTTATAGAACTGAGGAAAGATCACGGTAATCTTTTGTACTCATGTCACGCTACAATATTCTTGTCATATCATCTTCATGAGAAACTGTAAAAAATGTTCTGATTGTGATCTAGAGAAATTTGTTGTATGGTTTTTGATGTGTGGTACTTGATATTTTTATGATGCGGTTTATATGATTTTTGGTTTCCAGGCTTCAGAGTGTTAAGAAGGAACATCCTTTGGGGCTTGCAAGAAACAGAACCCAACTAAGCCCCGGTGGAAGAATTGAGGACAATTATATGAGGCGAAAGACTCATGGAGCTACTTTAGATGTAAACAATTTGCATATGCTTGACGAGAAGAGAGATATCTTTTATCTTCTCTCTTTTATACTTCATAATACAAAACCTGTTGGGCATCAGGTATGTTGTATTGATCAATTTTTTATTGACTTATTAAACAAAATTGTTGGTTCTTGCTAACATTTGAGAACTGACTTTTTCCTCCTTTTCCTTTATGTGTGGTGGCTGCAGGATCTTGTTGGTTTAGTAATCTCAATGTTGCTTCTAGGAGATTTTAGTTTAGTGTTACTTACCTTGCTTCAGTTATATTCAATTTCTTTGGTGGATGTCTTCCTGGTATTGTTTACATTACCTTTTGGCATTCTCCTCCCATTTCCTGTTGGAATTAATGCTCTCTTTAGTCATGGACCAAGGCGTTCTGCAGGCCTTGCACGCCTTTATGCTCTGTGGAACCTTACGTCCTTCATAAATGTTGTGAGTTTTCAATCAAATTTCAGCTGATTGGTGATAGTTAGTCCTTCTATTTATTAATTAATTTTTGTCAGGCTAATGGACTTTAAAATTTATAAGGATGGGATACAGTAATATGGATTTTATTTTTTTCGGTTTTAATTTGGGATTTTGTGTATTATCTTTGTCACTAGGTGGTTGCATTTCTTTGCGGATATATTCATTACAACTCTCAATCGTCTTCCAGTAAAAGACACCCCAGCATTCAGCCATGGAGTATCATGTAAGGGTATTCCTAGCCTCAATAAGAGTTGTTTATTTGGAAAAGTCTTCCTCGTATAGTTATTTATTTCTCAACTGTTTGGGGGATGCAGGGACGAAAGTGAATGGTGGATTTTTCCAGCTGGATTGGTTTTGTGTAAATTGTTCCAATCTCAACTCATCAATTGGCATGTTGCCAATCTGGAAATTCAAGACCGTTCCTTGTATAGTAACGATTTTGAGCTGTTCTGGCAGTCATGATGGTATGTTCACAGCATAAATTTAACATTAACTTTCCCCCCCTTTCCCTGTTCTCTTGATCCATCACATGTTTGATTTATGTACGGTCTTGTAGAATAGGTCAAAGATTGACGTAGAGATGGTAGGAAACCTCGAGGTGGGAAAGAATAGAACTACAGAAATCCATAGTAGAAGTTGTAGAGGCATTCATTACTGTAACACCTAATGTTACCATAGCTTTTTTGTTTTTGTTTTTTATGAAAATATATCATTTTCACCTTGAATTTCCCCACTGTGTAAATATCAAGTATCTAAGCACTCTTGAATATGTTGTTATTTGTTGACTACTCGTAACTCATGCCTATTTTTTCTTCAAGTTCATTAAAATCAGAAGAGAGAATTTGGGTGTATTTGGATAGGATTTGAGCTTCGAGCCCCCAAAACATCAATTATATATATTTTTGGAGGACATAAAATTATGTTTATTATTATTTACTCGCGAATGTGGGTTTATAGTTTATTGTAATTAAGAGTTAAGTTGTTTTCTACGTCATTAAAATAATCTCCTTGAAATTATTAAAATGTTGATAAGGCCTGGCAGTCTGCCGCCTTCCAGGGGGCGGGTTAAGATTGTCAACTCCTGCAAATAGAGTTGGGTGCGGATCCTGTCTCCGTCCCGCACCATATAGTATCTGTTACTTTGTTCTCGGCCATTAAGATGTGTTCTTTTATTTGGTTAAATTTTAGATAGAGGTAGTTAAGTTGTTTGTGTGTTTTAATCACATGGGATGATGATTGTATTTTAAGATTGTGTTTGATTATGCTATTGGTGCAAATTTTATATTTTTCGAGGCAAAGATAGAGTGCTGTTTTTAAATAATTTCGTTGGGGCGTTTAGGTTTTTGTCATTGAACTCACGAGGTGAGTAGCAGCAGCAATAGGGTATTGATTTTGGTGGTACGGTAGTGTTTTGGGGGAGCAAAAAACTGCATTCTGTATCAAAATAGGTGTTAAGGCAATCGAAAGTTCTCGATAAATAAAGGCAAGAGTTAGTTTCTCTATTCAACTGACGTCATACCAGCTTCGTTGTCATTTATATTTTAATTTTTTTTATAAAAAAATTGATCGTGCTCCTAATTTCCATGCTTTTAAAAAAATAAGAGTGCTAACTACTCGTCCCTGACGGTAGTAATATGCGAGAAATCTTTCTACTGCGGAGGTAAAAAGAACACCCTCTCTGTTTTATAAATTAATAGTGATTGCAGAATATATTAAGATTAAAAGTAAGATTGGTAACCAATAATTTGTGTTTAGCGATTGCGATTTTCTCATGATCTGTAAATGCATGTACTGTTAACAGGGTTTCACTTAGAAATTGTGGAATGACAAATTGTTGGTGAAACTTGTCAAATATATGTATTTGATAATGAAAAATGACTATCAAAATTAAATCTTCATTATATGTGGTTATTTACATTTTATTGCTGCCACGGTTGCAGTTCTGTTAATGACCTTGAGGACTCTTTGTTAAATAGGCCTTTTAAATGAACATCTCTTACAAGAGAATCGGCACAAGAATTAAGCATGAAATTAGAGCTTAGAAGGAATTGGATCTCTTAATAATTAATTTTACGACCCATATTTTGAAAAGAGTTATCGGTTCTAAATCTTTAAAATGGAAGTCTCTCTCTTTGTCCGACTGCAGCCCCTAGTACTTTCAATTTTTGTGTAAAAGTTCCTTTTATATTTCCGACTAACCATAATTATTTTTTAAACTCATCATTATTTATTTGAAAGCAACCATATTTACTGAAATTTAATATTTTAATAAAAAAATCAATATAAAAATGATTTTCGTAAAAAATACTATGAAAAAAATGATAAAATTTATTATTTTACTATTTTATAACATTAAATTTTGTAAATAACCTCTTTAAGTTTTAGATTATACATACAACAGAATCTAAAGTGAATTTAAAATTATAATTTAATATCTTAATTCTTTGGCAAACTCAATTCATAAATTTTAATATTCTGCAATAATTCTAATTCTAAAATTAATCAAAATAACGTTTTAACTCATCTGTACAGCCATCCTGCAATGAAAACAATCTATCTGTCAGCTTTTAGCTCTCAATTAGAATCCTATTTACATTTTAGCCTTCTCAATTTTTTTTGTACAACACATTAGGATTTACAAGCTGTATATAATTACATCTTCAAGCTTTACTCTGGAGCAACTGGCATTGAAGTTGCTTCTGTATCTCCTTCATGAGCCTAACGTGGACGGAGTCAATCTACCTCTGTATCTCCTTCATGTGCCATGAAGTTGCTTCTTTCTACTTCATTTGTGGTACATTGATGCAATTGGGGAGAAGCAAAGAAATTCTTCTGAATCTGATCGGAGGAAAGTGTATTCACAAAATTAGTGGTATTGCTGCTAGACAATGAACCCGACCCCACCGTTGTGACATGGGTAGAATCTACATCACTGCCTCCGGCAAAATTTGGTCCGTTTTTACAGCTACCTACGACCAGCAATTATTGTTAAGCATCATTTCCTTTTCTGTTTGTATATTTACCTTTCCAAGATCACTACGTCCAAACCAAATAAAGACCTAGTAAAAATTGAAGAGGATAAATAACCTGGAAGAGTATGGGCAGCAGCAGGTGTGTTTGAAAACGCAGGTGAAGTTCCACTTCCTCTTTTCAACTTTGACTGCAGAACAGAACCGCAGGTTAGAATCGACAGTAAGCAGATTCAGTTACTTCAGAATCATGCCTGATATTGAGTAAACATGACAGACGAGGAAACATTATTCATCCTCAATTTAAGTATACTTGACAACAAAAATTGCAGAAATTTACAATGCCAATAACTCCCTTATGCTCCAATTGCCATGTGGAATTAACTGCTAACTTATATACCTTGCACTCAATTGTCATGTGGAGATATACTCCTAACTTATAGCTCACAAAGGATAAAAGTTTTAGGTCAATTAAGAAAGACTTGAATGTCTAGCACCTTTCTTAAAGATGCCATCTGGGTTTGTTCTTGCTAATAGATGTTCTGGCACAGCAGAGAACTTCGGTTAGCACTTAGCATACCTTTGAAATTTCTTCACAATGCTTTACAACAACTGAGATATTTGCACAACGTCCATGCAAGAGACCATAGGCCCACAAGAGAAGCTTCCTTGGGATGCTCAGATCAAGTGCTTCAATCCCACTCATACTTGGGTTGAACGGTGTCTCTGTTGCTAATTGAGATGGAATCAAATAAAAGTTGAGGCCAGAGGTGAGCACTACAGAAGAACTCTCTCGATAAAAATTATAGCAAGCTCTGAGCAGTGTGTTCGCAGTTTCCAAATTTTCATCAGAAGCTTTCTTGACTATTATATTCTTTATTTTTGATAAAGTGGAGCTCCATTTTGTTTCAATTTTTTCTAAATGACATGGATCTTCAAAAGCTGTAGTCCATAATTCATGTGGCTGCAAATCAATAGAGAGTAACTGGCTATTATCCATCCCACCATCACTCAAATTAAGGACCTGAATCCCATTTGAGAATCCACATGATAATGGAGTGATTTGTGCCAAACTATATATAAGAGATCGGCACCAAGCAACAGAAGCATGCCTGCAAACTTTTGCACAACTACTATTTGAGAACTTTGGATTCTTAAAACGTTTCCGAATCTTCTCATTTATCACTTCAAGAGTTTCCAGTTTTCCTTTTTTCTCCAATAGTATGATATGTTCACGAAGATATCTGCAAAGATTAGAGGATCTAAATTAGTTTTGCCATTGACAGAACAGACGTCAAAAACATTATATTTCAATCAGAGAAGCTATACACAAGTTTAGTGAACTCAGAATTTGTTAAAAAAATTCATATATTTGTTTAAATCTTATTACCCATATACGATAGTCTCTGATGTATCTGGGCTCTCAATTTCAGGCAAGCTGCATATTTCTGGCCATAAGCTCCCCTGCTCCATGAACAAAGTAAACATTCTCTCCAGCAAATCGTCAGGACTGCTCACTGAACCAGAGGTAGCAGTCTGAGAATGGCACATAGTTGAAATCAGGGCCTTTAAATACCTTCCGATGGCCACTGGTACAAGATCTTCAATGCATAATGAAAACTGCATTCGTGGCAGAAATTAAAGACAAAACAAATCATATACCATCAGATCTGAGAACAAGGAACGCAAAAATGACACAAGAAATCATGCAGGTTGTAGTTGAGGGGTGAATGATATTTAATATAACTGGAGTCTAGGCCATATAGGAATGTTTTACCTTTTCTTGGGGAGCGGGAGGGGGGAGTGTGCTCATGACAACACACACCCATATAAAAAAGAAACAAAAAAAAAAGACAAATAGTAAAGCTTCAAAGGCTGCTCAAGAAACACCTTTGAGGTGTCTAGGGGAAGGAGGAGCAAACAATTAATGAGATTATTCTGTTATTGTTGACGAACTAGAAAGAACACTGTATTTACCAGATTGGATTACTTAGTTGAATGAATCAAAAACAGGAACTTCCAAAATTTTCATCAGAGACATGCTTAGGTTAGGATTTTGCAATTGTTTGTCGTTAATCAAATAGTATTAAGCAGTGAAATATTCATCAGTTAATCACTTTTAGATTTTTATTTTTTGGTTCAAATCCGGAAACAGTCTCTTTGCAAAATGTAAGGATAAGACTAATATAAGGATTGTCCTCACCATTACCCTCCCTAGTCGGGGTTTAAGGAGTAGTTTATGGGTAGAGGAAGAAATTCATTAAGACAGAGAAATATTGCAAACAGAAGGGATGATAAGGAGTCCTCCTCAGAAAAAGTACAAAACATAAAACAACAAATAAAAATGGGAAAAATAAATAAATAAAGGAAGAATTCTTTGATTAGTACTGTCTGTTTTTTAATCTGATGGTAAATCCTTCAATTCAAGATCAGATTTTGATATGGTCATGAAGGCGGATTCCTTCCCTTCAACCCCAAAGGTAAAATTTCATCATCTCAATTAACTAATTTATTATCTAAAAGGTTACCAAGTCAAAATCATCAAATGATTCACATTAATCAAGTTTAAAAAAAAAGGTTATAAGGAGTGCTTCCATGAGAACAATAAAAGCACAACATATCTGTAGCAGTTATCAATTAATGAAGTGTAACTTCAGTTAAAGCAGTAAATAGACTCTCTGTGATTTACCCGCTTATCTCCCCGAAGAGAAACATACGCACGTTCAAGAATACACCTATCTCCGGTCTCCTCCAATAGTTTGAGATAAAACAGCACATACTTTCGAATGCAAGTAATGAATTTTCGAGAACTTTCTGGTAAGTTAACCTCAAGGGCTCTTTTGTTCCCAGCAGAACCTGGTGTCTTACGCCTGATATCATTAAATGCAAAATAGATTAGTTCTTAGTTGTTGACAATATTGCTTATTCCTTGCTCCTGCATAGCATGGATAATAAACAAGTCAAATCAATCAAGTGTTAGTTTATTGAGTGAAACCCTTAAGTTACATAAGGCAATTTGGGTGAGATTTCATTTTATTTGAAAAAAAAGGTTCCAAGAGATTATATCTTTCAAATATTCAAAGTTTGCTATGACACTTGTTGAGATATATAAAATCATTAATGTAGCCTCATCCAAAAGCTTAAGCTTTTGGGTTGAATTGGTTCTTAACATGGTATCAGAGCATCGGTGTACCGAGTTCGATCCTCACCGCCCCCACTTTCTTTCTAGTGGAATTTCTTTCTTCTCACAGGTAGGTGGGCTTGTGCATCGTCCACCCTTCAAGCCCAGTGGGCTTTCGTGTGAGGGGGCGTGTTGAGATATATAAAATCATTAATGTAGCCTCATCCAATAGCTTAAGCTTTTGGATTGAATTGGTTCTTTACAACACTAATTAATATTACCACGTATTAGTGATTCGTAATTGGAAATTGCCTATAATATGAGGCCATCAATTGTTTGTGACAAAATTTTATTGCATCAGTTCAAACTTACCAAAAGTTAAAAATGAAAGGATAGGAATAAAATTGTACCTTCCTTTTTTTACCATGCTATCAATTTCCCACATATTTATTGTAAAGGATGAGCGTGAAGACTTGAAGCAGAAAGATAGTTGATCTTTAGCCCTCTCTATATCACCACTCTCACCCCTTTTATACAACCCTTGGGCCAGCATGTATCTCGCCTTATGGAAATGCTTGAGATCCCCCTCTACACAAGTTTCAAGCGCAGAAAGGCAATCATTGTAAAGCATTGACCATACTCTATCCAATTTGACCAACCCTTCATGCTTTGTTTCCTCCATACCACCAAGGATACTCATGACAGCTTCTTTTACAGATTGATCAAAGGAGTTCGCTGAAATAACCTGTTTAGGACCAAACAACAATCAAGAATATAGAACCAGTGCACCACACTATCAAGTAAACTAAAATATTAAAATTTGAACTTTGAATTCAGTGCAACTATAAAGGACTATTAGAGAAGTAACATAGCTATTACATGCTTGTCTCTTGCACAGCATTTTAGTGCTGATGTTATTTTCAGTTAAGCATAATTAGCTGTTATATAGTCAGCTTGTTGGGCTGTCAGGTTGTTTTAGTTCAGTTAAATAGTTGTGGTCAGTTGAGATCTGTTTAGGTCAGTTACATATCTGTCTCTTTTAGTTGGATAAGGAGGCTTCCTTTACAAGCTCCTCTCGTAGCCTCTATATATCTCTCAGCTCCTTCAGAGATTCAACTTTCAGATATAATATCACTAGTGTTTTTCAAAAGAGCAATGCTCACTCTTCTTCTCTCCTCTCATCTCTAGCATCTCTTCACTCTTTCTATGAAACTTAATTGGCAAACTTAATGCTGCATTTGCTCTTAAAACAGCTTCAAAACTTGGACTATTTTCTTGAATGTGGTATTCACTTAATAGGTAAGGGTAATGAATGGGAAACAGCCTCTTTAAAAAATATAAGGGTAAAGCTACGTATAATCGACGCTCACCCCGACCTTTGCAAGTCGAGAAGCCTTGTGCAGGAAGGGAGTGGAGAATTCTTCACTTAATAACTTAAGCTTTTGGGTAAAATTGGTTCTTTACACGTAGATTGCTTATACTTTTACAAAGCCTCTCTCGGCCCCGAGATTCTGTGAACTCGGACAAACTCAAGGTCCTAGTCCATCGCCAGCTGCTCCATCGACCTTGTGTTTGTGGATGATGTATTAGAGTAGTAACAGTTGTTACCAGCTTGACTCATGCACAGTACTTTACTGCTGATGTTAGCTTCAGTTAAGTATAATTAGCTGTTGTATAGTCAGCTTGCTGAGCTGTCAGGTTGTTTAAGTTCTGTTAAATAGATGTGGTCAGCTGAGATCTGTTTAGGTCAGTTACAGATCTCAACATCTGTCTCTATAAGTTAGATCAGCTGGCTTGCTTTACAAGCTCCTCTTGTAGCTATATATATCTCTCAGCTCCTTCGGAGAGATTCAAATTCCAGAAATAATATCAATAGTGTTTTTCACAAGAGCAATGCGCTCTTCTCATCTATAGCATCTCTTCACTGTTTCTACGAAGGACAGAAAAACAAAAGATATGACAGTTAATGCAATCAGAATAAATGGACGAAGGTAAAGATAAATAAATAAACTAACACCAAAATAGAGTTCAGTGATCTGAAAGAAAAAAAAAACCTTCAAAATCTCTAAATTCTGTTTTCCGCACTTAAATAATAGCTTCAAGCGTGAAGCATGCATCCTGTAGACAGGATCGACAGCTGATATGTTCAACGCAATCGCTTTATTGTAATATGACAATGCGATTTCATGTGAATATCCAAGCTTTTCACTGAGTTTACCCAGGTAAAATGCATGCAACCAATCTTGCCTGCATAAAGAATCAAAGTAGTTCATAAACATCATAGCAAAACAAGAGAAATGCAGAAAATAAAAACATACAAGAAAAGAGGATATACTTAAGTGCGAAGGCTTTCTTAAAATGTTTCATTGAGTTCTCACAAAACATCATCCACGCTGCATCCTTTAAGGGCAAAACAGACCTCTGATCATAAAATGGGACTACATTTTGAAGGCTGTCGTAGTATACCAATGCCAATAACTCGTGTATCTCACACTGGAAATACAACAAATACATGAAAAAAGTTAAATACATAACCAATACTTCATCCAAGACAGAGACGAGCGACATCGAAAAGGAATCTTAGAGTGCATGTATTCAAGTAAAATTAACATTGTGAGCATGAAAAGTTGCAAATCCATAACAACATAAACCTTGAACGTTATAGCAAAAATTTAAATTTTTATTGCCCAATTTATTAGCCCTAAATATAATCAGACAATTAGTGGAACGCAGTAGCTAGCATAAACAATGAAAGCCATCATCTCAATAATTACAGTGCAGATAACATTTGGAGGGCATAAACACTTTGCTTTTTTAGTTAAATTCTCATTTTAATTGAACCCAACTTGGTTAACAACCACATGATAGTTACTATTCTCATCCAAGAAAAGGAAATTTTAAAAGGCTTCATTTCCCACTTACACCACAAATAGAGTAAATATATAAATAGTGGGTAAAACCTGCTGAGCAGATGTCTTTGCCAAAGCTAAACTCATTAGTAGGCACCGTCTACTCCTCCTTCGGCTTGTTTCCACTCTCTCGGATAAAGTTGGATTCTTCCTCCATCCTACTACATTAATGTGCTTGCTACCATCGTTTAGCAACAAATCTACTTCCTGGCTCAGTTCAACCAAGAAACATTAATAAAACTGTATATGGCAACATATGTAGAAATCAAGACGTCATTGTTTGTAAATTTCAAAACATTCAGGGTTTAATAAGCCAAACAACATTTTTAACTTACCTCATCATAAATATTTCCTAGTCGCTGCCAGCTTTCAAAGCGCAGAGGATTGTACATGAGATCATATTTGAAGAGCTTTGAATTTTGCTCGACAAATTCTTCCCCTTCCTTGGTCAGCACAAATCCAGTCCATTTATCTGTTGCACTCATTTCCTCAGAAAGAGCTAAGAAATAATACAGGTTATAGTAGACCTCCAAATATGGCTCGGACCTGAAAAGTCAAATACACTTTGAGATAACCCTAAGAGGCTAAAAACAAGGAAAATCATGGATATACTGTAGTCATTAAATATAAATCAGAAGAGACAGGTTAAGAATAAGATAAATTAAAAATGAAGCACATATGGTACCATGCAAATTTATACCTCCTTAATAATGTTGTGTTATAATGTGCAAGGCCTCCCGCATCAGGAAACATGATCTTAGTTATAGTTTCAAGAAATCCATCAGATCCAGCTTCCTCTGAGAGTTTATCTTCACATAGATTAGGATCATCTAAGAACTTATCTATAGGGTTTCCTGTCAAGAGGTCCTCTGGTGGTTGCAGAAAGTGCTTCCTAATAGCTCTTAAAACTCTACGAAGTTTGACCAGTCCAGTCCTCTGGTACATAAAATATTCTTAGCAAAATGAAATTTCTGTACAACATTCTGTAGACAAACCGAGCTATACAAGTTAGAGACAGAGAGTACTCACAGAAGATGCCTTTGCATAGGGAAGAACATACTTGAAAACATCAGCACACTGTTCCTTGGTCTGATAATCTCCCCGGCTTGTATTTTTGTGCATCACTAGATCATCCTCATAAGTTGAATCAGATCTTAGATTTAGTCCATATAAACAGAAAAAACACTGATCTAAGGCACTGTCAATTTTAGACTCAAGCTCCTCTCTTTCATCTTCAGAAAGTTCATTTCCACTTTCAATCAATTGATTGCTTGAATTTTCACCCTTAAATAACTTACTGTCAGTCCCAGCACCTCCATGATTTTTGCATTCTACTTCATTACTGTCTTTATCATGAACTTTGCAAGATGAAACATCCTTCTTTGCAGGATCAATTTCATCAATTTTGGTCCAATCCATCCGGATATCGAATGTATCTGATTTTGAATCTTCTACAGACACATTGACAAGACTGTTTTTGGACACTTCTTCAAATCGCATTGATTCTTTATTTCGAAGGTTAAAGCTGGATTTAAGCTTCATATCCAAGGCCAAGAGATGCTTTATTGCAAATCTAAGAAATGTTCCTTCTTCACCTTTGCCACCTTCACCCACACAGCAAAGCCCATATTCAGCAAGCAAGTCATGCGTTGCAACAATCAAATCAACCTGAGTACAGAATACAGGAAAGCAGAGTAGAGTTTTTCAATTTATAAAAGGAATCACTGAATCATTTAAAGTACGATTCTTCCTAGTAGGTGATAGCTCACTTGAGTTTTGATAGGTGTAGTTGGGCTAAGATGCTGGAGTTTGCAGAAAACAATGGCTGCATCAACGAAACAGCTACTTTCTGCTTGATCAGAAATTTCTTGTGCTGAGGCTTTGTTGCAGACAAGTACATTAGCCACATAGCTCATGATTAACAACAGCAGAGATTGCATTTGACAAATGCTACTTGTTGGAACAGTAAGGCCATCCTGCAAGCAAAAGAACACAAATGCTTTCACTAAAATGACATTTATAGTAACATGAACCATGCTAGCAATCTTAAAGATTACGGCTATTTTATTTTTTACAGAAAATGAAACATTATTAAAGAGAAAAGTACAACTACGAGGAAGATAAGATATCCTCCAAAACAGAAAAAGAAGAAAATAACACAGAAAAAGAGAAAAACAACAAAGGAGCACAACTGTCCAGCCTCTGTAAATATCATAAATGGAAACTCCTTTGAAACAGCCACGAGCATAGCACTAGAGAGAAACCATAAACGCAACCAAACCCAAAGCATACCTAGTCGCAATGAAAGAATCTTTAAATAAATATGAGCATTCCACTCCATCCAAAATTCCAAATACATAATTCAACATCAACAACACCTTTATCCCAAACTAGTTGGGGTTGGTGGAAGAACCCAAATGAAAAGCACGAAAGATTGAGGGGAATAAAAACAAAAAAATAAAAACAAAAAACAAAAAAATAAATAACACTAGAAATTAAAAATAAATAAATAATAATAATAAAGTGAAAATAAAGATAAATAACAGAGAAAAATACATAAGAGAAAAAAGAAAATAAAAATGAATAAAAAAAAATTAAAGAAATAAAAATAAAGAAATACGAAGAATAAATAAATAAGAGAAGAAAAATAGAGAGGAAAAAAGAGAAAGGAAAGAAATAAAAAAAAAACAACTCCTCAATTAAACCCGACTAGCGAGTGTGGGGTGAGAGCAATCCTTGTACACAGCTTTACCTTTGCAAATAATTGCAAAGGAAAGAAATAAAGAAAAGGGAAAAAAAAAAAGAGATAAAGAAAGAAATAAAAGAGATATAAGGACATAGGAAAAAAAACGGTTTTAACCCTCTACAATACTAATAGTTTTCCTCCAATCCATCCTAAGACATACCGTCCGCTAATCTATATCTCACTTCATTAAATCTTGTTCTACTACCTTCCCCCAAGTAAGTTTCTGCCAACTTCTTCCTCTCTTTGTGTCAAGCTCTTGGTAACAAATTTTTGTTCTTACGGGAGTATTTAGGGGTCTTCACATTATGTGCCCAAACCACAATCTATATTCTCTCATCCTTTCAACCAACAGTACTACTCCTATCTTTTATAGAACATCTTCATTTCTTATCTTATCCATCCAAATACATAATTAAGCAGCAAAAATTGCCTACTGCCACAATTTTGAAGTCCTTATTACTTTCAAAACCTATAAAATGAACCATATAAAGTTGTTGCAAAGTGAAAATGCACACTTAAGATTGACCCACCCCATCAAATAATTTATTCCAAAGGAAAGTTGCCACACAACATTGAAATAATTAGGCCACTGTCTCCAAATTCAAGCTGCACTATGCACATAACATATCAGGAGAAAGAACTTGTGGGGACTACAAAGCAGCACATGCTTTTAGTATTACTGCTCTACAGACAAAGCTCCTTAAATTTCTGTTTAAAGAAAAGAGTCGGATAAATGGGTGTCCATCTCAACTAAACCAGGTTCATAATAGAAAGTAAGCTATTTCTAAAGCCTAGCAGTATAAGAAAACCAGTTTGAAAATAACATTGTAAAATCCAACCACTATTAATGCCATATATTATTGAGTGAAAATGAGTTGCTCTATTTGGATAACTGATAATCCTGCAGGCTAAGTGAAGTTTGAAAGACCAACCTATTTGTTTTTACTTACAATGAGAAATTGTTTTTACCACATTGATGAGGTATATCCAGATGTTCAGGGATTAGAGTAAACTATATACAGTCTAATAACAGACAATTAGTAAGTATATTTTGATTAAATTGATTCATTTAAATTGTATCCGTGAAGGAGAATTAATGACATACATTGTTCATGAACTTCCCTCATTGATGAACAGGAAGTGATGTTTACGAAATACACTTCATGGCTATGACAGCTTAGAATCCTAGACTAGAATGATATTTACTTACAGAATCTCCACGGTGATCAATAACCTTCTTCACTTGTGAGATGCAGTCAGAGAGTGCCTTCACTTCCTCTGCAACCAAGTGATTACAATGCTTGCTAGAACTTTCCTTTAAATCAATATCAAAATTAGGAGATGCACTTAAACCGAGTGCTTGATCAGAAGATTTAAATGATGAAACACATTTATTCAACCCCATCATTGCCATAAGTATTTTAAGTTTTCTATAATGACAATTGAAATACATCTCTACATCCATTGGCCTTGTCTTCTGACATGCTTCTATGAGAACATCTAGAGCCATGAGTTCACTGGAAGTTATCTTATCCTCTTTTTTATCAGCCATGGATAAAGAAAATGAATCAATGTAGACATCTTGTGTGGAGAACAGAAGTGGAGAAAGCAGGGATACACACTCCAAAAAATTTTCTTCTTCCATCATCTTAATAACAGACTTTTCCATCAACAAATCAACCTTTAATATATTAATTTCGTAAAGAACTCTATCAATGTTTAGCTCTTTTACAGCCTTGCAATGTGGGCGGGGGACTGTACATAGAGAATCTTCCATGTTTTCCCTCTTTGCCAAAAGTGACAAAGCAGTACAAAATTCTTCACAAGCTTTTGCCCTGTTGCCATCAAAAATAGACAATCTCCCACTTAACCAAAAGAATCGAGCCCAGAATGAACTGTTTTTCATAAGTGAGCTGTCTAAATTTGAATTGATCTCAGTGGAGGTATTGATTGATATTCCACTAGTCTCTGGGGAACCATCATTCAAGACATGAGTCAAGCGAAAAGGATAATCTAGAGCTACAGACTCTATGATCTTACAGAGATGATAAGATGTCTCTGACATAAATTCTAAATGTTTAGAACCAGTGGGGGAGCATAATCCAAAGTCATAATACAGCTCAGCAAGAAAAATACTACATTCAGCAGTTCTCTCCTTTCCCCAATGCCTTGTCAACTTTTCCAACTCCAGAAATTTGACAAAAGCATCCTGATATGTGAGGCCTTGTCTTGCAACCTCTTCTAAAAGCAAGTGCCCCATATGGTAAGCACCATAATTGTTTGAAGTTTCTCTTAAAAAAGCAGAAACATTATTATATTCAGAATTTCCTAAATAGGATAGTGTAGTGGTATCACTGTCAATAGTATCTCGTCCACCCAATCCACCAGCAATAAAAGGTTCTAGATATTGAATGACAACCTTAGCACGGTCCTTGCCACAAGAAGAATCTGATTCTTCTTTCCCTGGTTTACGACTCCGGAGCCTTTCTAGTCGAGAACTCCGTCTTTCATGCGGTTGTTCTTCTTGGATATTTGTTTCTTTCTCTTTAAAAGCACTTGATCGTTCTATATTACCATCACCAAAAGCACTACTTTCAGCACCGGACCCTTTCCCTTCCACAGTGTTAATAACAGCCTCTGAACTACAACATAAGTTTATTCTGAGCCTAATGTCCGGAGAATCGCATGCTTTTTCAGGATCCATCTCAGAACTTCCCAGATTCAATGGCAATAAGATTTCAAGCAGTGCGTCAGCAAGAGCCACCCAGGAAGCTTCTGTAAGGTGCAGTTCTTTGTTCTGGTTCATCTTTTTGAATGCAACATCCTCATCTAGATTCTCATTAGTAGCTTTTCTCTTGTAAGGAAATTTGAGCCGCACATGCTTAGGTTCCAGTTTGTCTATGCCTCTAGGAGCAAATGGCAATGGTTCTGATTCTTCAATGGTATTTCTAACATGCAAAGCACGAGAGTGCGATGGCCAGTGCCTCAAAATCAACTCCGAAACAGAAAGGCAAGCAACCTCATCACCAATTGCAATAAGAACTTCCAAAAGTTTTTCCATGCAATTCCCTGCACACACGCATCAAAGGGGGGGAAATCAGAGATACATAAATACATATGTGCGTAAACACCATGTGCATGTTCGTATAATTGACAAAGAATTACTATTGAATAAAATTATTCTTATATAATTTTCAAATGACGAATTTTATTGTTGGAAATGATTATGTAAAGTAATTTTGGAAGAACTAGTTTTGATTGGATAAGGATGAGCCTTGGCACAACAATAAGATTTTGACCTTGAGTCATGTTGCTCATAGGGTTAAAAGGCCACGTATGTCTGACCTTCCCCATACCCCATAATTGTGGGAGCCTTGTGCATTGGATGCCTTTTTTTAGTTATGTTTGGATAGTTTTAAGTGAAAATTACTTTTGAATGTAAAATAACAAAAAATAATAATTTATATTAATATTAAATGCTATGAACGAGACATAGTTGTAAAACTATACCAGAATGAATTCTTGCTTGATGTCCACTCAGCCAGAAGCAACAAAATATTATTTTCGGTAGAATGGCATTTTGTACAGCTCAAATGAGATAAAAACATGCCAAAAGTAATTCTACCATCCAAAATGCATTAGTGCAGTGCAGAAGTCATTCTTCACTTTTATCCAAACATGCTCACATACACACCAAGAGATTGATAGACAGTTCAAAAGACACCCAATTACATAAAGTGTAAAGATAACCCAGAGAGGAAGACAAATAACTGAATTTCACAGACTACAAATGCAAATAAGCACTCCATTAACAAACCACTAGAAAATGAAGAATATTAGGAGATTACAGTTATTAGGGCTACACAATAGGCCTTGCTCAAATGCCCAACGTGAAATACTCAGTACGCCCATTGAGCATGACAATGTCCCCAGCTGGTTCCATACAACAGAATCTTTAGAATCAATCTCCACAGCTTGAAGATAACAGTGTAGAGCATTCTCATAATGCGTAGAACCTTGCTGAAGAAAAACGGCAGCAAGGTTTTTCAATGCCAAAAATCTGTAGAAACCTCTGTAAGTAACACTCACATATATTTTAAGTGAATAGCAAATGGCAATTAGATGCTGAGCTGATATTGAATATTGCAAGATAAGTGACAACGTATGCAGATAGAACAATGGAAAACTGCAACATGAATGGTACAAGACATGCATATATAGGTTTTACCTAAATGATGTCATATAAGGGTGGTATGACTTTATTGACTACGACCCCCCCCCCCCCTCTTTTTTCAAAGGGTAGTTTTAAAACTAACATTCACCAGCTATGTGCTTTGTGAAAATTCATAAACGTGACAGAATTATCAAGATATGAGAATCAATAGAGAGCTCTAAAACTTAAGGTAACGGAATTAATTGCAATATAATGTGTCCAGAGCTACTTTAATGGACTACAGGTTAAAAGAGGAGACTACATGAGAATACAACAAGCGCAGAACAGTTGACAACTTGATATAGAATACATGTTATATGGCAGATCAAAACCTGAGTTGCAATAGATGACCGTCACTGGCGCTGCTATCCACCTAACAACAGAAAATACATCATACTACCAATTCAAAATGAAATTGAAGATTGAACAAAATATGTGTTAGGTAAAAACCAAAACCTGAGCATTAGCTATAAGAGGATCTTTAAGGACAGATTCTAAGAGCTCACGAGCCTTTTCATATTCTTTTGCTTGTAACTTTAGAAGTCCTTCATGATAAGTTTGAGAGAGATGAAATTCCTGAAAAAAAGAACAAGATGATATTGATTAAAATAATGGCAATGTAGCACTTGAATTTGGATCCTCTAAAGAAGAGGGTACACTTAAGCTCGATTACATAAAGCAACAGTACATGAATTAAGAGTATAAAGAATCCTAATCTTTGTACCCTAAGCAGAGTTCTCAGAATTGCTTAAAACATCATCATTTATCATCCACGAGAAAGAAAGAAAGAAACATGCCTGGGCTTCTTTTGTGGGAGCTAGTGGTTCCCAGTGACTTTTAGAGTCGGCATCATTGATAGCTGCAATTGAGAACTGACAAAGCAAAACCAAAGCCTTTTATCAGAATGGAAAATTCCAAAACTCGTAAGAGAAAACACTATGAATCCAAGTATCTACCAACGAGAACGATGAAACTATGACACTAATGACGATAAAACGAAGATGCACAAAACCAAAAATTTACTCTCATACCATATTCGATCTTCAGATTGTATCGTCTCACTGTAGATTCAACAATTTAGGGTTCCAAGCTTCGATTGTGGCTTCCAATTTTTCCAGTTGTAACTAGTAAGCGAGGGGGGGAGAGGGAGCGCGCTCTGAGAATCGCCCTTGAACCATTCCAAAAAACGACGTTGTGGTAAGGGCTTTTCTTGACCATTATTATTATTATCGAAGATGATATATTTATTATTTTCTTTTTTTACTATCTTTAATTATTAAATCTTAATTATTGATTTTCTTTAATTTAATAGTTATAATTTATTGGATCATATTTATTAATTAATTATTAATTCTCAATAAATTATAATCGTTAGATTAGATTGACGAAAATCAACTATTAAAATTTGATAATAAAAAAAAGTATAACTCCTCTATTATTATTATTATTTAAAAAAAGAAGAAGAAAATAATCATATTATTTTATCGGATTTAATATTTCTCATGTTATAAGAAATAAAATTATTTCTTACACACATATAAAATGTGAGATCTATTTTTTATTATATTTTCTTCTTATATAATTACATGTGGACTTCACATATTTTTATGTGTTTAATAAATAAATTTACACATAAACTCTACACATTTTTATATGCTGTATTAGAAGGTAAAAGAGAGTAAAGAGAAAATATTGATTTCATTGATTGTGGTAATTGATTTGTACAATGAGTGAGCTCTTATATAGAAGAGCATAACAGAAAAGAGAGATCTAGAATATCATTAAAATACTAACGTACCCTTATACCTAATATCTAATATGCTGCAAGTTTGCAATTTGAAGGTAAGTTTCTACGAGAAGTTATGGTTTACGCAAAAGGGTTTTTTTATTTCATTTTAAAAAAAAAAATTCCTTATCATAAGAAAATCTATTCACGTTCATGATATGATACTTAGGCTATAAATTAAAGTTTCGCGGGATTGAGGTGAAGATTTTGGGTGTCTTCGTTATTATCAATCCATCACATTTATATCTGCAATATACTTGTTTAGATTTTCTTCTTCTTTTTTAAGTTAGAAGTTACTTATAAGTTAAAATTAAAAAAATAATTAAAAAAAAGGTTTAAAGTTGTTTAATAATTACATAAATTTTTTAACTTAAAAGCATATATATTAAGAAAAACATGAGTTTAAAAAAATCCTTCTCTTAAGAGCTTTTAATTTTTAGCTTCTTTTTTTTATTATAAAAATAAACTTTTTATTATAAATTTTTTTTCTCAAAATTAACTTATACTTATAAATAGCTTGTAATTTAAAAAAAAAAAATTCAAACATGCACTCTAAGAAGTGTATGTGTTGTTAACTTCTTTATAGTGATCAACATCACAAAATCAAAAATAATATCCAAAGTTGAAGATTTGTATAAACCTTTTGGAATCTTTATCGTGTTCCAAAGTATTTTCAAAGGAGGTCATTTGTAAACCATATGACTCTCACTTATGGAAAAACTTATGCAAGATTTGGTCTGATATGATAAATAATTGTATTTGGCAGATTGGAAGTGGAAAAAAAATAGCTTTCTGGAAGGATTATTGGACTGGGTTCAACTCTAACCTCCTACCTCTAGCAACTGTCCTTCCAAATCCTGAAGAAACTGATTTGAAGATCAATCACAGTGTCTTTCTTTCTGGGGAGGGCTAGAATATTCAGTATTTATTGAACCATTTTGACCTGAGTGTGGTGAATAGTATTCTAGCTATTCCATATCCAGAAGGCGAAGCAGGAGAGGATTTTCTAATGTGGAACAATTGGAAACCAAGGCTGTCTATAGTAAAAGTTGCATACAATAATTGGTTGAATTCATTTTCAACTAATTCCAACAGTTGCTGGGACAGAATATGGAGCTGGAAAGGTAAAGAGAGGGTCAAAATACTCATATGGAAGATGTTCCATGAGAGAAAGTTAACCAAGGATAAAACAGCTAAATGGGGTGGAGCTTCAGACTATTGCTCGTCGTGCCCAGAAAATATGGAGACCTGCCTACATGCTTTCAGAGATTGCCATAAGGTCTCTAAGGTTTGGCTTCTTCCTATGTTCCAACCCTTGTCACCTGATTTTTTCAGTTCATGCTCTTTCAAATAGTGGATGACTCTTAACTTGAATCAGAAAATTAGTAATGGTAGGGACTGGAGGGACTCGTTTTTCACTATCCGCCATTCCCTGTGGGTTGGAGAAATAAAGAGTTACATGAAGAGAATTTTAAGAGACCAGATAATCCATCACCTGTTCTTGCTGATTTAATAGAGGAAAACAGGTACATTAACATAAAAAGAGATCAAATTTTCTTTGGCACCTCCCCCCTCTATCCTTCTCTGCTTGGACCGCTCCAATTCAAGGTTTTTTAAAACTAAATATGGATGGTGCTGCTTCTGGAAATAGAGCTGCTTGTGGTGGGCTGCTGAGAGATTGGAATGGTTCCTAGATTAGTGGTTTCTCTGCATTTATTGGTTCCTGCTCCCCTTTGCAAATTGAGCTCTCGGCTATTCTAAATGGTTTTGCCTGGAATTTTGGTTGGAAAAGTATTGTTTTGGAATCTGATTCGTCACAAGCTACTGGCCTTCTTGCCAATTCTGGTAATGAAACTTGAAAGCTTCCGTTGGTAGCTAAGATTCGAGTTCTTCTTAACAAAGATTGGACTGTTTTGTTGAAGCATATACTGAGGACTTGCAACTGTTGTGCTGATTGGATTGCAGAGAAGGCAATGGATGATCCCCATGGCCTCATCACAATCATGTCCCCGAGTAAGGAGCACATCAATTTGCTAACTGTTGATTTGCTGGATCCGGGACTTGAGGAATCTGTTGTTTAAAGAAGGAGATGTCTCTAGTTTTATTTGTGTTGTTCTTTTATGCTTTTTTCGTCTTTTGTATCTTGCTTAGTTTGTTACTCTTGTTTTCTTTTGTGGGGCTCTGCCCATGTTTCTACAAAAAAAAAATTAAAAAGATAGGAATTAAAAGTTGTTTAATAATTACATAAATTTTTTAACTTAAAAACATATATTTAAAAAAAAAAGATAAGAGTTTAAAAAAATCATTCTCTTAAGAGTTTTTAATTTTTAGCTTTTTTTTATTATTAAAAAAACTTTTTATTATAAGAACTTTTCTCAAAATCTATTTAGTTTAGCTTATGCTTATAAATAACTTGTAACTTAAAAACAAAAAATTCAAACATGCACTCTAAGAAATGTACGTGTTGTTAACTTCTTTATAGTGATCAACAATCACAAAATAAGAAATAATATCCAAAGTTGAAGATTTGTATAAACCTTTTGGAATCTTTATTGTGTTCCAAAGTATTTTGTGCTGAACAATAAATCAGATCAGATGCACAAGAAGCAACTCCTGTCCTCTTAAGTGACCGTTGCGTACTTGCGTTTATCTTATGGTAGATTTAAAATTTAGGTAAAATATAAAAGTATAAATTCAAGAAAAATATTTTAGATAACGAATTAAAATTATGAGTTATGCGTAATTAATTTACATAATTTTTTAAAAAATATATATATATAATTAAAGAAGTATATTTATTTTTAACTTAAAAAAATTAAATTTGAAGTTAAAAAAAAATAACACATTTCATTATTTAAAGAGAGTAAAATGTAACATATTATAAAGGAATGAAACATTCATTTCACTGTTTATAGAAAGTAGACCAAGAAATTAAACTACTCTAAAAGATAGGGAAATGGATACTCTCACGTGTAATTTAACATGATTATGTAATGTGGAAGGATCTTAACCATTAATTATTAAATTAATGATGATGATTATGTAACTTCCTATCCTTATATTTTTTCTATCTCCTCTCTTATCACCATTAACTCACCTATGTATGATTATGATTGCCCAACATGACATAGTCATGTTAATTAGCACATGAGAGGATCCACTCCCAAAAAAGAGTAAACTCTAATATAATATATAGGGATGGGATTTTTTTTATTATCAGTCAATGTTTTAATTTTAAAATGACACGAGTAGATGAAATAGTTTCAAATATAGTAAAAAAAATAATGTAAATAGTTGAAGTGATAGTAACATATGAAAATTAAATATAAAAAAATGAATTATAATACAGGAAATAAAACAAAATATTTGATTACCAAAAAAAAAAATATTTAAAAAATATATGCTTGATATAAAAAAGTCATTTGACTCGTTAAAAAGAATAATATGTTAGGAGAATCTCTCACTCTTAAAAATAAGGACTATAATTCAATATATAAGATAAAAAAATTGTCAAACTTTGTTGTAATTTGTGCTTTATTTATTCATCAAATATATATGATTTATATTCATAAATTCAAATTGTTAGATTACAAGATGTTAAATTATATGTCACGCATCTATACATACTATATAGAACAAATTGTATACGACTAGTGCCAAAATTAATCACAGGTTAAATTTTTTATTTCTTTCGAAATTCACTTTCCTTCAATATAGTTTCATTTTTTTTATTTAAAAAAATTAAATTAAACTTAAATGCTACCAGAAATTGATTTAATTTAATTTAAGTATTAAAATAATTTTATCTCTTTAAACAAGTGTATATAAATTATTTTTAATTTTTAAATATTGAATTAATTCAAATATAAAATTATTTGTTTTTTTATTTCCTATCAAACAAATATCAATTAATCATCTACTTTTTTTTTTGGTAATCATTAATCATCTACTTTATTTAAATATACTATTACGATTATGATAATCATTTTGAATAAAAAATGAAATTCAATTAAGTGTTACTCGTAATTAATTTTAATTTTATATAAGTGATAAAATATTTTTAAATCCTATTAATTGTTTTAGTTTTAAAAAATTTAAATTAACACGCTATAATAAATTAATATTATATCATGATACAAATTAACCAAAATTACTTAGTAGAGCTATATGTTTTTAACTGAATGTAACACTTACAACTTACCAAGTCGCATATTTTTACAATCGGCAAAAGCTTGTTAGAAAAATGTTTTGCAATTCTCAAATGTTAAAGAAGTGTGCTGAGTCACGTATAATGGTATTTGACACTCATATAAGGGATGCAATTTAGTGAGAGAAGTATATGATAGTTGTAAATGAAAAAAATTTAAAGAATAAATTCTTACA